AGGATACACCATTCTCTTCAGGCCATTGTATATCCAACTCAAATGTGTCGATCGCAACGTAGATCATTGTTATAAATGACGACAATAATATTTGACCATATTTTTTCCATGGCTATATAATGGGGGAAATGCAGAAACCAAATCTTTTAACGTTTTTTCTATAGGCAGTTTCTGTGATACGACTCTCAGAAGCATGTTTTTTTGTAATATTGCTATACAAATTGAATAATATCTGCTGTGGAAAAAACATCGCAGTGATAGTGATAATGCTAATAAACAACTGGGACATAAAGAAAAAAGAGTTTTATTTACAAAATTTGTAGACCAAAGCAAATGAATAAAACCGAAAAAAATTGTGATGTGATCGCTTCAAAAAGTTCTTATATTGTTTTATGATTGATAAAATACATAGAGAACATGAATAGAAATGAAGTACTGGGAAAGACTTAGAAAAAAAGTTGGATAGGTTGGGGAAAATGTTAAATACTTGAAAATCAGGTAATGGAGAAGAAAAGTAACAAACAGTGCAGAATAGAAGAATATTTGTTAAGCACATTAAAACCTCCAAAATCTTGTAGCATAAACATAAGAAGAAGAACTGTACGACGAAATAAAAATAAGATGACTCAGCCTTTCAAAGAAAAAATACTCTCAAATTCATTACCTATTACTAATATTGTTGTTAAGGTTTAAAACTTGTATTTCTGCATACTTTAATATTCCTTAGGCAGAATTTGTCGACCTACTCTCGTATTCACATTGCGTGCCATAAATGGTCAGAGGCATTCAGCACCACTGGCACAATTTCTAATACGGATCTACACAAAGTAAATAGATATTGTTAGGGCGTTTGAAATTTGGGCCTTTTTCGTATGATAATGAAGGGAAATGTGAGGAACGCGTCAAATTATTTTGTTAGGTTCCGCGTAGTATAATCACTAAAGTTAATATATTATTAAGAGATTAACATTGCCAAAGGTTGGTCGGAAAATGGGAAAACAAACAGGGGAAGAAATTATGATGGGAATTTTTTTTGCAGCAATCAGTTTTGTAAACAATAATTAATGAAATGTACAATGTACACATGGAAACATTACTTATTGGCTGAGGGTATCCTCTAATTCATTAGTAGATCGAATGGCTAAGTTGAATGTTGACATTACTAAGTTCTTCTTGTCAAAGAATGTTATGCCGTTTGGTTTTCTGAGTAATAGTTACAGTACACTTTCGATATATGCTTTTTTCCCATCTAAATCATGTGTATCCGATAATATTTCTCTGTGAGCATCACCAATGGTTTCACTGATTTCTTTTTCATGGGCTACTTCAATTTTATGTAAGAAATGTCCACTCGCTTGACATTCGGAACAAAATTGACGCCAATATAGGCGATTAACGAAATTTGATAAAAATCCAAGGGTCACCCCTTTGAACATTTTTTGTCAAATTTTAATTAAAAATTTGTTTTGGTACATGCACTCGGTCCAGCTTATTACAAACATGTGTCTTATTCTGATCCTCTAAACCCCAATTGCCGATAAAGAAGAAAAATCGAATTAAAACCTCCAGTTTTTCAGCAAATACAGACATCCAAATGGAAATTTTTCTCACGACGCCTTAGATGTAGGAAAATTCTGAGTATGGCAGAAGAACGAGCGGTCAATTTTATGTAAGAAATGTCCACTCGCTTGACTCTCGGACCAATATTGACGCCAATATAGCCGAATAACGAAATTTGATAAATATCCTAGGGTACCCCCTTTGATGATTTTGAAAAATTTTAATTAAAAAAAAAAATATGTTTTGGTACATGCGCTCGGTCCAGCTTATTACAAACATGTGTCTTAGTCTGATCCTCTAAACCCAATTTGCCGGGGAAAAGAGAAAAAATCGAATTAAAAATTCTCCAGTTTTTCAGCAAATACAGACCTCCAAATGAAAATTTTTCTCACGAACCGCTAGATGTAGGAAAATTCTGAGTATGGCAGAAGAACGAGCGGTCAATTTTATGTAAGAAATGATCCACTCGCTTGACTCTAGGACCAAAATTGACGCCAATATAGCCGAATAACGAAATTGATAAAATCCAATGGTACTCCCCTTTGATGATTTTTGAAAAATTTTAATTAAAAAAAATATATATGTTTGGTACATGCGCTCGGTCCAGCTTATTACAAACATGTGTCTTAGTCTCATCCTCTAAACCCAATTTGCCGGAAAAGAGAAAAAATCGAATTAAAAATTCTCCAGTTTTTCAGCAAATACAGACCTCCAAATGAAAATTTTTCTCACGAAGCGTTAGATGTAGGAAAATTCTGAGTATGGCAGAAGAACGAGCGGTCAATTTTATGTAAGAAATGTAAATTCGCTTGACTCTCGGACCAATAATTGACGCCAATATAGCCGAATAACGAAATTTGATAAATATCCAAGGGTACCCCCTTTGATGATTTTTTCAAATTTAAATTAAAAAAAAAATATTTTTATATGTTTTGGTACATGCTCTCGGTCCAGCTTATTACAAACATGTGTCTTAGTCTGATCCTCTAACCCCAATTTGCCGGAAAAGAGAAAAAATCGAATAAAAATTCTCCAGTTTTTTCAGCAAATACAGACCTCCAAATGAAAATTTTTCTCACGAAACGTTAGATGTAGGAAAATTCTGAGTATGGCAGAAGAACGAGCGGTCATTTATGTAAGAAATGTCCAACTCGCTTGACTCTCGGACCAATATTGACGCCAATATAGCCGAATAACGAAATTTTATAAATATCCAAGGGTACCCCCTTTGATGATTTTTTGCCAAATTTAAATTAAAAAAAAATTTTTTTAATGTTTTGGTACATGCACTCGGTCCAGCTTATTACAAACATGTGTCATGTGACCAGAGTATCGAAATACCGCGAGTGATATAAAAGCTTTTATAAAGAATCGAGTTTTGTGCAAGTAGAAAAACGAATGACAATCTTCTCAAACATCACTGAAGCAAATTAAAAATGACGTTGCAGCTTGGGAACCCTCAACCAGGAACAGAAGAGAACAATTGGTGATAACGAGATTACGAATTGGACACACGAGACTTACTCACTCATATTTATTTTCCAAAAGTGATCCACCTATTTGAGAAACATGTAATGTACAATTAACCGTTAACCATTTATTAATTGAATGCCTATAGATTTGCCAATTTTCGTGTTACATTTAACATACCTAACAGTTTAAATAATTTATTAGGCACTAATTTTTCAGCTAGTAACATTGTAAATTTCTTAAAATCTATAGAAATATTTTATAAACTCTAATTTTGTAATTCTAAGCGCGTAATAACATATGGTGGATGCGGCTGTAATTTCTAAATAAAAAAAGAAACATAATACTTAGACGACATGGTTGCAACCGAAAAACAAGGTTTTACGAAAATCAGCTAACGGAATTATTCCACAGGATGTTTTAAAGTTAGAATAAAAAACCACCTTTCGATTAACCCCGTATAATAAGTCAAATGCAAAATTTTATTAAAAAATTCACTATACTAAATTAAAATTTATAAATTTTTAGACAGGGTGCTAAAAAAATCATCAAAATAGGGCTAACAATAAAAAAATTGAAATAATGCGATATGTTAAATGTTCGTCATTACCGACGTTTTATGTGCGAAAATACTAGGTACTCGCAAATACAGGGGTAGGTACTACTATATCAATTATTTATATGTAGAAAATATTGGGTAGATAAAACGTACTTTATTTCTTAATTACTTAGGTACGGAATGTTTAATCTAAAATTACAGAAAAAAGCATACACATGCATTATTTAAATATACAAATGAAATATAATGCGTTAAGATTAAGAATCTACTTTACTAACATGAATGTGCGAAACAAATAATCGCAAAATAATAGACAATATATAAGAAACATGTATATCACAGTATTACATTACAAAGATTTATCTCAAAGTAATTAAATCGATGGTTTACTTATTTTATATTTTTACCACAGATGTTCACGGATTGTCATTCAATAAAATAAAAAATAAAGCAAGAATACCCCAATAAATTTATACGTAATTAAGTACAATATTCTTATAAGTATCGTAAACAAATACATATAAATTACATTCTTCTTTTCCCTGCACGCAAATTTAATTCGTGTTTATTTAAATGTCACAGTTTAAAAAAATAGAATGGAATCTGGGCAGTTCCAAATATGTTCGCAAAATATATTTATGGATAAAAATGTACAAAAACACTTACCGCATTCAAAATTTTAGCACATCACACACCGTTTATTTATTCTAGTCCGATACATTAACTCACAAAACTGACAACACTATTTGCGATTTTATTGCAAATAAATTATAAAAATTTACCCTTGGCATTGCCAAATGTCAATTTGCGTGACAAATACAACCCCCAACCCCTAATCAGACCAATCATGATACTGCTCATTACCACAGCAGACGGAGGCCTGTAGAAAGAAAAGTTAGTTTTACGCGAACACTGCAATGACGTCATAGAAGGTTGTTAATGATCGTTACTGTTTTTTTATAAAACGAATGTATTACAGGATTTTAAAAATGTAATAATTATTACCAACTAATTTTTATTTATAACTATTTGTACAATCAATGTATATAGTATTAACGTTAACATTTACAAAAACAAATGAAAACCATAGAGTAGATTTTTAACTCGATGTAAAAAACAGAAGCAGAATGGAATGAGACGCAAAAAGTATCAAATAGAGAAGGAGGGAAAATACAGTATTTAAATAGGATAGAATTTTTTTCCACTAATTTTAGAAATAAATCGTAGATAATAAAATACATACGTAATTAAAAAATAGATGAGTGACAGGTTTAACTATCTGAGATAATAATGACCATTGGTAAATGAATTTTGTATAATTGAGAAACAATAGTTTCTAGGTTTTAAAACTCATATACATTTATAATCTCTTACAAAACATCTTTAATAGTTTGTGTTAATAAGCAGAACAATGATTGCAGAAATTTTGTTAGGTACAGCATTAACGGCATCAATAGCAGCCCTTTCATTCGTTAGCTTCAAATTGTACATCAAATTAACCACTGGAATTTGTCAGAGTCAAGTGTGCCTTGCAGGAAAAACTGCCATTGTTACAGGAGCTAACACAGGTGAGTGGAAATATTTATACTTTATATTTTGCTTATTTGTGTAAGTACTCTTAAAACTGATAAAGTGGCAAAAATCAACTTAACATTGTATGTTCATTATGTGGAATATTTCTAAGAACTGCGCTTATAGTGCATACAGTATTTTGCATAAGAACTGTGCTTATAGTGCATACAGTATTTTGCACCTTGTCTTAAACTTCTTGCTGTTAAATTTGTGAAAATTTTGTTAATGTATAGATTCTATTTTCTTGAACATCTCTGTTTTCTTCTTTTACAAACGTTTTATCCAAATATTCATATCTAAGACTAATATTAAGGCTTATATTTGTAAATAAACATAATTTTTGTAGGAATTGGTTATGAAACAGCTTTAGACTTTGCAAAAAGAGGTGCCAGGGTAATCTTGGCCTGTAGAGATGAAACCAAAGCAAAGGAAGCTGTTGATACTATTATCACTGAGACCCACAATAAGAATGTTGTTTACAGACTTGTTGATTTAACAAGTTTTAACTCCGTTCGAAGGTTTGCCAATGATATAAATAATAATGAAGCAAGACTGGACATCTTAGTAAACAATGCAGGAGCTGGCAGGTTGGGTAATAAAGTGACTGAAGATGGCATCTCAATTCTTATGCAGACCAACTATTTTTCACACTTTTTACTCACTTATTTGTTAATAGGTAAGTATTTTGTGATTAAATTTTGTTTTAAGCAGTTTGTGGGTAATAATTGACATTTCAAATATGAAAATGTTTATGAAAAAGGAAAACCAAAGTTTTTATAAAAAAATAATGATCAAGTACCCACTTTTCAATATTTTTTTATGTTATGACAGATACTAAATAACGTATCTAATATAGTTCGAATGTATTTTATTTATATAATAAAATTGCTGTATTATTTTAAGATCTAATGAAGAAACATCCAAGTAGAATTGTTAATGTATCTGCCATTGGGGCCAAACTAGGGCACATAGATTTTCATAAACTTACATCATTTACAACAGAAGCTAATCAGTACATTACATCAAAACTGTGCCAAATATTGTTTACCATAGAGCTGGCTTCTAGGTTTCAAGGGACCAACATAACAGCCTATTCGTTACACCCTGGGGTTATAAAGACAGAGATATTTAGGAATATTAGTCCAGTATTTAGGTGGATTATTTTGTTTTTAATCGATACATTCTTTAAGGTATGAAAATAAGTAAAATATGGATGAACCAATAGTATCCTTTATTTCTTTTATTTTTGTAGACTGCATCAGAAGGAGCACAAACCCAAATATACTGTGCCATAGCAAACGGGCTAGAAAAGCATAATGGCCAACATTTTCATGATTGTAAAATGGTGTCCAGGTACAAGAGTGCAATTGAGCCAGGCTTGTCTAAGAAACTGTGGGAAGAAAGTGAAAGGATTTGTAAAGTACAAGGAATAGACACTATTTAGATTGTCAAATTCATTAATCGTTTGGCTAGATTGTGAGTTTTGGATCTACTGTAAAAAGTACAAAAATTGTTTAGGTTTTATTTTCTATATTAAAATAGTATATTCTAGGTTATAATGTAAAAACTAATTTTGTGATGAAAAGTTTTTAATCTTTACAAATATTGTTATTGTTGTAAAAGTAATATTGTAAAAATATTTTGCTTTTAAAAATGTAGAAAAATTGTATGTGCCATTTTTAAGTCTAATATAAATATATTTGAAACTTTATTTTGCCACTACAATAGCATATCTATAAATATGAATAAGCTTTTGATAGGATATTAAGCATGGAATACTTTTAAACATATTAAACACCAAGGTCATTTATCATATAAAACTTATGTTGGAAGCAAAAAGCAGTTGTTTAGTTGATGGAAGATTAACAAATGATCTTACATTCAATAAGGCATCAGAGATGGCAGGTTATTCAATATCTACTCAGTTATATCTCTTAAGCATGTTTTGAAGAGTTTGGAATGAAAATCAATTATTAATACTATTCAATATGCTGAAGACAGAACTAGCTGGTATCTCTATAGCCACAAAAGAGATAATCCAAAAAGGTATAGCTGAGAAAACTATAATAATCTGCACAGATAACACACTATGTATCACAACAGGGTTAGTAATGGAGTGTCACTAACTCAAGCTTCGAACGGTAATACCATCATCCTGGGGTGGGTGGAAGGACACAATAGAAATAAAGGTGACCACATTGCTGACCAATTGCTTAGGAAAACTCTTAGGAACTAAGGATCTTTTTGGTTGGTCAACTACAACAATCGCAAAAATTGTCAAATGCCACTGTGGCTTTTATAATATGCAAACTGTGAAAAGATGGGAAGAAGGGAAAGGATGTAGACTTGTCAGGTAACACTAAGTAACCTAGAAAAGTCTACATCAAAGAAGTACTGGGGAATGACCAGGAAAACCTATGCTTGACAGGTGGTTTTTTTATTTGGTCATTGTCAATGAAACAAACACCTTCACACACTGGGGCTGGTAGATACACCTCTATGCAGGAAGTGTGAATGAGAAGATGAAACTGTGGTGCATGTCCTATTTTAATGAAATGGCAGGATAGACAATGAGCTATGGATGACAGCTCCTGAGAGGATGCACAATGGGTTAATTGTGGCCTAAGTGTTGTGGAACTTAACTTCCCTACTCTATTTTGTACAGAGGTATCCAAGGGGCTTCAAGAGTTATTGAAGTGCATGTAAATGACAGGAAGAGAAATGTCCCTACATCTCTAACATCAACTAATAATTAGGGTCGGATCTATAATTAACATGGATTAGACAAGATTTTGAAGGAAATTACAACTAATATTAACTGTGAGGAAGAAAAGCATAAAGATGGCATTGCTATGAAGACTTCAAAAGAACTAAAACACAACCATATGAGCTCAAAATCAGATATGTATTATTTAACTTTAAAATTAACTATACACAGAAATCCATATGAGTGTATTGAGCAACAAATTAAAATTTACAAAAGTAATCTGAACACCAACAAAGCTTTAACAATGGTAAAATGACAAAAAAGATAAGAAACATTTCTAAGCATTGCTCTAACCAAAAGAAGATACTCTAGAGAGCACTATAGACTCAAAAAACTAGTATTTCTCACTTATGTAAAATCTAGCACATTTAATTTGTTTGATAAATTTGTATACATATAATAAATAAAACAATGTTAACTTCTACTTGTTTATTAGTTTTCAACAGGTTAACAACTTGATTTTACTGTATAAAAATCCATAAATGCAAACTACTCTTTTATATAGTGATCAATCTTCAATCCCAAATTCAAACTCCGCATTATAATAAGCATTGGAATTAGTATGAAAGAAACTATTTAGTGTTGCGATATGTCTGGAACAAACGCAATCAATTCTCTTTATTTTTCCTGAAAAATCTTTTTCTTTTGAGCATTCCTGCCCTCAACATGTCTTCATCTCCATCTAATTGATGTTCCCAAATGTTTAAGTGGTAAGGCAGGTATATTAAACCTCCAAGTGTCACAGCTAGAACAATTTTCATATTAAAAAAGTTATATTTCACTTCATGTTGCTTTATATGTGTACTTACCATTTAAAATGCATGGAAAAACTACATAGAAATTGAAGGTAGCAGCCCTAAAGTAAACTGTTTCTGTTAGATACAGAACTACATTCGAAATTAGTGAGCATATTCCCAGGCTAACCACCCTAAAAAATTTAAATTCTTTAATATTCCTCAAAACTAAGATTTTATTTCAATCAATAACAATTTTTAAGTATTTTTCATGAAGTTAATCAATATATCACATATCTATTGAGTCACAAATCTTTTCAGTTGCAAAAATAAACATTAAAATAGAAGAAACACTAAAAAGTTACTGAAAAATGAATTAAATAGAGATATCAACATGTGTAAAGCCCATAGACTTATAAACACCATGGTACTTAAAGCCTATATAAACACGATACTTTCAGTTATTGGTTTTTTTGTTTTTATTTCTATATTTGATATAACGTACCATGGAAATATAAACTTTGTTGTTTGTTTGTGTTTAAGTGACTGCGGACACTAAATCCATTCGCCAAATATAAACTTTCTTTTGTATTCAAAATCTTAAAAGGGGAAGTATTTGTACTTACGGTTTATAATGTATATATAAGGTGCAATGGATTAAAACTAAAGCTTTTAAAATCGAAAAAACTCCTAAGATTCTGGTTGCCGTGTACTCTCCTAAAACGAATTAATTGATCCAACAATTTCACACACAGTAAAAGTAAACTTACCATCTACAAAGTCTTCTAAATCTGATATAGTTTTACTAAGAAATGATCGTTTTTCGATATAACTTCTAACAGCGGTGCCGAGATCCATAAAAGCCACGAACGCAATCCACCCTCTGAAGGCATACAACATTTTCCGGTCCATTTTTGTAAATTTTGAAGGGCTTCGCAAAGTTGAACATAAAAATCCGTAATTTTTATTTCAGTCTTTTCTTCCAGGCATTCTTTCGATGCATTCTAGCTTTGAGTTTTCATCCAGTTTCTTACATAAAGCTGTTATTAACATTATTCATAAAAAAAATGTAAGAAAGGGTCTATAATTTAAAATGGTGCATTAGTTTGCTTTTGGTGCAATAACCTTAATCTTCTTCTTTTTTGAGATTGAGAAATTACTAGTGTCTAGAGCCATCGAGCAATAAGACAAAAGGGAATGTAAGGTAGAAGGGTAAACATATTGATAGACAGAATTGCCATCTTGAGAGCCACTTTAGACAAAGGATAGACAGTCTCTTTCCTGTTTAAGAAGTCAATTTAGTTTGGTTATGTTATTGTTTGTCCAACTGTCACATGAAATTTTATTTATATTTGAAGTTTTTTACCAATTATGTCACTTTTTAGACTATTAATCGTTAATATTTAATTAAAACTTACTAGTCTGAAAAATATTTTATAGCTATTGTTAACAAATGTTGGAAAACTTTAAATTTAGCGCCTTTGCATTTCCGGATGTGTCCGCCATCAGAGGCCACTTTTTGGTCTCCTTTTTTATAACGATTAGATTCCCTCTTTTTGTCTTGATTGCTCGATGCTAGAGCCTGACCACTATTCTGTGCAGACTTGCGCAGTTCATTTGTATCCACATCTGAATGTGACAATGAGGTTTATGTGTATTGTTGGTTGCATAAGAATAACTCTAAAATTAATAATAATAGTAAATAATACCAAATCAAAATTAAAGGTTTTTTAAAATAGTTTTAAAAGTATTTTAAAAAATACTTTTTGCGCATTTTTTCCAATAAAAATTTGTTATTTTATATACAGAATGTTGACTGATGTTATATATCAATTACTATGATACCAACTTTATTATTTTAAATGAAACATTGGTTAGGTATATTATAAATTTTTTGGATTATGCACAAAATTCCCAGAACTTTGATATATTGCATGTTATAGTTTTAATTAACTTATTTTAGGATACAGGGTGGTTAATGAATAGATCACTCTCTGCGTGTCTCCTTATGACTTTAAAAGGTTCTATACCTAATTTCAATAAAGAAGAGTGAGTTCATTTTCGTATCTCAACTTGTTTTTAATAATGTATATAGTATCATAGTATAGATATGTACCTATATTCTTTTAAAATAGATATTATGTCAAAGAAATGAAACCTGCCTATATTTTTACCAGGTGTGAAATGGAATGTACATAAGTAGGTATCTTAAAGGCTATATATTTAAAAGTTAATATAGAAGGGATTGTGCCTTTAATACATTGTATAATAAAAACAGTTAAATAAAAGCATGGCAATCCAATATATTGATTCTTTGTATTTTCTATTGGATCCAATAATTAAATAATATACCTGGTGTTCCATCTAAAATAATAAAGTTGGCATCAGTATTTACATCACACTCTGTATAACACATTTTTATTGGAAACATATGCGCAACAAAAAATATTAAAAAAAACAGAGCTTTTCGAGGAATTATTCATCATTTAATAAATAGATACATATTATAAACCTCATTGACACATTCAGAAATGAATACAAATGAACTGCGCAAGTCTGCACAGAATAGTGGGTCAGACTCTAGACACTAGTGAGAAACTAACTAATAGACATTTTTTAATCTGCAAATCAGAGAACAGCCAATTAGCGAAATGCTTCTTCCTCTTTCTTCACTTTGGCTATTTATGAGTGAAATTAAGAAATTTCATTGTTGCTGCACATCACAATGGGCTTTCCAGACATAGATTGCTCAAAATTTAAGTATTCCTCAAAGAACTGTAAGAACTATAACTTACAATTAAAAAAAAAACGGAAAATGTTGAAAAAAAGAACCTGGTTGTAATTCAAGTATTGAGAAGTCCGAAAGAGATAAACGTGCTTTTGGGACACTTATTAAACAAAACCGTCGATCTTCTTCTCAAGAACTGGATGTAAGATGGGCCCATGCTGTTGGTATACCAATTTCAAAAGACATTTGTTTGAGAATGAAAAAATTGGATACGGATTCTACAAGATAAATTTTTAAAAGCACACTTATCTAAAATATTCAAACTTATCACCTAACTTTAAGTAAATAAAAAACCACTTTTCACAAAGAAACAAAAAAGAAACTGATTTTTATGGACAAAAGCGAACCGAAACATGGATTGTATTATGATACAATGTGGGAAATAGGAGAGATACATCAGTGGCCTTTTCGACGATGCTGATCCAGAAAATGCTGCACGTATGTATACCTACTATTTGTGAAAACAAGATAGACAGGAGTCCCAGTATATTGAAATCAGAAGCCAAGAGGGCAATACAGCAAACCAAAAGTAATAAGACAGCTGAACGAGATCTTATTACTGCTGAACTACTTAAGCTTTTGGACGAGGAAAGCATTACGCTCCTTAACACTGCCAAAGAAAAGCAGACTCATCAAATTTAGCAACTTTGGGCTGATCAGTTTGATGAATTACACACCACCTATGTCGTTATTCGTCGAACTGAATCCCAGAAAGTACTAGAGTACGCCGTTTACCCGCGCATGCTTGAATTTCTTGTTATTTTAACGCGATATAACTTGTCAAACATTAAAAAGTCCATTTTTATGAATAAGTGATTTAATTACAAATATAAATGTTACTGTACATACATTTTTGCTACCCTATTCTATACGGCTGAGAAAAATATAAAAAAATATAATGCACCTATCGTACTACAATTGAATCACAGTTGCTGAGCACTTATTTAGTAGGGTGGTGTACTATTCTTTTATTATTTTCACTGGTATGCCTCTTGCTACACAAGCTGCTTTGGTCATCATGTAGGTTAAATTCTTTTTTGCTAATATTAATGCACGTAGTAGATCAGGCTCCCAAGTTATTTCATCTTCCATAATTGGCCTATCCTTAAACACTAAATAAATTGCAAATTTAAATTTATTTAAGCAAAAATTGAACTATATGTTTTAGGAAAGCAGAAAGCAAATATGATGATAGTTTGCATACCTATTCGACAACAACTTACCTAATTCGCCGTCTTTTTGCCACTTTGCTTTATTGACGAATTTCCAGTATTTAGGAGCAGTTGAAGGTATCCAATAGCTCAAAAAATCAGTGGTTAGATCGTCCGTTGATTTATCAGTCACTTCCCAAAGCATTCCTAATACACAGGGGCTAAAATTAAAAAAAAAACGAATTATATTATATAGAATTTACATTGAATCAAAAATAATGATTCAGACGTTATTTTTATTCTACAGCAAACAAAGAAAGCGTATTAGTTGGGGCGAAACGATTGGAAGTATGTCATTAATTCAGTGGTGTATCTGCAACATGCTAGTTATTATCAAGTGTTATTCCAACAAATAGGCACTAGCCATTGTTTCATTGGCTCCATTTTCTTAACCACTGGCAATGTGAAGAGACTTAAAGGTCTTAAAAGAAACGGGCGAAATAACCTCAACAAACATTCTGGTACAGAAAAACTATAATAGAATTTTGTGTTGAACAATACATTTTGTGTTGTGCATGATCGTTTACCTCTTCAACCCCTTGGTCAGTTGAATTTTGTATGTGTGCAAACCCAAGTCAGTACATTTGTCAAATTGTGGTCTGTGAAACACCAACTTCTTGCATATATTGCATAAAATGCATTAACGTCAATTTATTTCGAATTGCGGATTTTAACTAATATTTACAGTGGTGTTAAAAAGTCCAGCATCACTTTCTTCTGTCTGTCAGACTTGTTCTTCTTAACGTAGCGTCATCCCGAACAGAAGTTTTTTTTGGTCATACTTCTTAATGACTCTAATTACTGTAGATTGATTACAGTTTATTGCGGATTCTATTTCGCGACTAGATTTGTCGTTTTTATGGTAAAAAATAATTTCAAAACGCTTTTCGTCCGATAATTTAGTTTGTTTGGTCTGGGATGACATTTTGATCCTTTTATCAAAAATCAAAGAGCGAATAAATGTGTTAGGGTAACTACAGTGTTTATATAGTCAAAATATGTGGCAAATTTGTCATTAAGATTCAATTTAATAGTAGGTACTTTAATAATCACCTCATAATTTTCTCGGATTATGAGAAATCCCTTCAATTAGATTATTTTAATCTTTTCTGTAGAATATTGAGCTAGTAATTAAAAAAACATTAGTAATTATGACGATAATGCTAATTACAGACACAAACTTAAAATAAATTAGCAAAAATATACCAAAAACTTTTGTTAAACCTCAAAAACTATAAGGCGCTATAAGGTGATGCAGGACTTTTTAACACCACTGTATATAACCGTAGATAATGGTATGAAAATCCACAAGGAAAAATTCCTGTAGCTGGCTGTATACCACGTATAACAAAAAGAGGTTAATCTTTGTAAATGGGTATATTTATTTAAAAAACCCTTAAAAGGGCCACATCAATAAAACAAACGTTTTCGGACCACACAGTCCATCATCAGGTTTTTAAAATCGAAAAATGCTAAAATAAGTATAAACCATTTAGTTAAAAAAACGAGATTGTGAAATTTTGACTATGGTTGAAAAGCAAAAGATAGTTATACTTACTAGGTCACAATGCCTGAGCCACCAAAATACTAGGGTAAAAACCCTTTAAATTACATTTAGTTATGAAATATTGTACATTGTGTTGTAAAATAACTGTGATGTTCAGTATTAAATTAAATTTGACTAGAGGTAACACATGGCTCAATCGGGTTCCAGAGCGGTGAGAGAGAACCTCTACACTCGGAGAACAGCGTGGAACTGATTGACAAGATACTTTTGGAGGATGAAGATAACAGAATGTCAATGCAACAAAAACTATAATAGTTGTACATAGTATTACTACAGCCAAAAGATTCAACAAGTTTTGATGATTTTAAAAAAATAACAACAATCTGGGTGTTGGGATTTAAAAACTTTTTTATTTATTAATTTAGGGTATAAAAGATGTAAAATCAATGATGGTTTTATAGTCATGATTAATAGAATGACCTGTGCCTTAGGCAACTTATGTTGCTTTTCGTCGTATGGAATGTGGTCTAAAGTGTATTTAATATTGGGTTAGCTTATATATATGAAATTTATCCTTTTATGTTTAACACATCTAGGACAAGGTAAAAATTAAATAACAAATATTTGAAGCTAATATCAGACCTCATATTTACATGACTTTATTTAAGACTGCTCCTATGGTGAAAAATTAATAAAATTAAGTTTAGTAAGATGGAAATCTACAGCTGAAGAAATTAAAGTAGTAACCTATGTGATTGAATTTAAAATTGAAGAGGCTAGGTTCCTCAGAGACTAATGAGAATAAAAGTAAAGGAAATGACTGAAGAAAAAGGAGGGAGGGGGGCGGTTGAAGGAGAAAAGGAGTTAATCAACAATTAGAGATAATAGGGGTCCTTTATACTTAAAGTATCTAACACCCTGAACAAAATCTATTTTGGTGGTATTAAATTCAGTTTGTAGAAACCTGAAATTTGTTGTATAAGTGTGCTACTAAGTTGTTGACAGAGAGAAGGTGGACAATGGTAGATAAGGTTTCTTTGCAATATGGTAGATTATGAATTTTAATAAATTGTTAGATAATGTTTGAGTGATTAGTAAATTAAAACTATTGGATACATATTTAATAATGTATGACTTTAACATTTCCACGCGTTGTTGTGCACTACATCCATCCATGATGATTTAACAAAACAAACTGAATAGACAACAGATAATCTGAAAGATGTAGCTTCAAAAATATGGCCGATATCAATTGAGAAAGCTCTTCAAGACGCCACGAAATGGTAAAATGCACATAGCTAGGGACAATACCTGGTATATTATGAATATTTCCCTCCATTCTCGTAAAATATGAATATAAAAAAACGCTATTATATATTTATATATATATCTATATATATATATATATTAATATATATATAGACAACAATTGGTTTAATAATATCAGTATTGATGCTTGTACGTAATTAAGTTACAAGATCTTGGATATAATTACATAATGAATATTTTGACAAAAAGTTAAAAAAACACGTTTTATAGTGTCTCTACAAGTAAAACTCAAAAATTGTACAAATTAATATAAATGTTGACTTGTTGGGATACCTACCAGAATAAAAAGATACTACATCATCTTCACGATATGATTAACATGTCCATACCCGCACATAAAATTGTTTTTACTTACCACCGAGCTATCAGATACGTATAATAGTCTCCAAACATCTCGATTTGCGGATCTTTTCTTTGTATTCTTGAACTACTGCATCCAAAGAGCAACACGACCGCTTTTACAAAAGTTTTCTGGAGTTTTTCCATGGAAACTAAATAACTGCCACTTCCGTGACCATTAAAACTGAAAATAAAGACTTAATGTAGAGATCGATTGGAATTTTTATCGTCGATATTTTACCGTCCAAATACTTGAATAATCCTCAAATGATTACCTTGAATTTGCGCCGTTATTAAGCTGTATCTTTAATAAACAAATTCATATACTCACGACAATATTTCAGACGAAGTTAAAAACTCCAAAAATTCGTCTTTGCTAGGCTTTTTACCGGCGACGCCGGTCCAGGTCGGCAACCAGTAATTAAAAAACGCCATCATTCTCGTTTCCATTGCGGATAAATCATTGGTGGGATTCACCACGTAGGATCCTTTATCGTATTTCCTTACTATCTTATACCCGTCAACTATGTCATCCTCGTGCTCTTTGAAGAGACAGTAAAGAAAGTGAAGAGAAGGCAGTCGATACACTGGTTGATCTTCTAAAACGTCTATAAGCTCCCAAGGGAAATAATCTAGACTCTGAGAGAAGTATTTATTATTAAACGATAAAAGCAAAAGTTGTGTTAGAAGGATATAAGATGAGAAAGCAAAAGTTTAAAAGAAGAAATGTTAAGGTCTTACATGTCCCGTATCACCAGGTAAAGTATACTTACCTCATGTACAACTAATATGACCGGATGTCGTTTCATCGTACTACCTTTATCAAGGAAGAACTTCTCCCCTATCGTCCTAATGACATTCACAATAGTTCGTATTAAATTTTTATCTTTTATTGCTGGAAAGCAATACTGAACGATATCTTTCACCTCGTTTATCTTCAAGCTGAGATAATTCTTGACACTGCAGCTTAGGATTGTCTCGATCTTAGATGTGAGTTTCAAATCAGGAACCCTGAAAGTAATATGTGGTTACAGTCTTCGGTCCAAAAAGCACCAATCGCAATATCAACAATTAACGAAAACCAAAAAGTAAAGTTTTCTCATTTTATATTAAAAATGTTGTGTCAAATCCATCTTCAAACTAACGAAGATTATACAGAAAGTTTAAGATCAATTAAAACTTCACAGATTTAACTGTTTAAGAAACATATATAACAAGACAAATCCAATAAAAATACACCCTAAAGTTACCTAAACGAAGAACAAGTAACTAGAAACAATAACTACAACTTGAGCAGGCTCATGACTAACAACTGTGCGAAATTAGGAGAACATTTATTATATTCAACTTTGGAAGCAGATGATAATTGTTTGTATAATATAAAAGTATAACTGATCGGCAGCATTTAGTAAGAAAAAATATCGTGAGCCCAAAAACCCAGCTGCTTGGAAAATACATTACGTCATAGTTTATAGATGTGAAGTTATAATATCATTAATTATTTACGGTGTGTTGCAAAGTTATTGTAAAAATAAAGTTTTCTTTGCAAACAACTTCAAAAAAAAAAAATAAAATTAATACTTACTTTGCTGTAAGTTCTTGATTAACATCTTTCTTAATTTGAGATTCAATAGGTTCGTCATATTTCCCTGCAAAAAGACACCTCCATTCTTTCAACCAGTAATTTTGCATGTCTTTTATGAGTAACTGGAATAAAAATGCTAATAAAGTGGAAAAATCTTTAGGTTTAAGTAAAAAATTAAGAAAATAATCATGAACAAATAGAAAATTGAACAAATATATGTCAATAAAGCCATCAAACAAAGCAACATTTCAGATTGTAAACTAAAGTATAAATTACACAACTGGGCCAAAAACTCTCTAATTTTTTGTAATCAGCCATCACTATTTATGGGTTTAACTCTTGTACACAATATTCTAAGAATCCAAACATTAGTGAACTCATTATAAGGGGCATAAAAATGATTTTTTCTCTTACCTTAAGCCGATCTTCAACGATTGCATTTTTCCATAATACTGATACTTAGCCTCATGACTGGGAAACCTTTTTTGATTGTGGCTTAAAAGCACCTCCTTGTTCAACCGTAAAATTGTAAAAAGTTCTTCACATAACTCAATATTTGTACCTGAAAATTGGTATGTAGGTTGATTGGTGATTAAAAACCAACCAAAATAAAAAAAATTTCGACTTAATAATGATAGTTTTCTTAATGATAGAAGCAAGATATTACAGACCTCTACTGCAGTGAATTAAGTAATAATTTTTAGTTAAGTATTAACAATTATATTAAGTAGAAATATACACTTATGCAAGAAACAGGAACAGTGGAAGACATTATCGAACATATTACAAGGCAAAAAATGGAGATGGGCAGGACATGTTGCAAGAATGAAAGACAACAGTTGGACAAAAAAATTGCTTGAGTGGAGACCACGGGCTGACAAGCGAAGCCGAGGAAGACCCCCAACCAGATAGACCAACAACCTCAAAAGAATTGTGACCAATTGGATAGCAGAGGCACAGAACAGAAGCAGATGGAAAAGTCTAGAGGAGGCCTATGTTCAACAATGGACAACTCAGGGCTGATTGATGATACAATTATGGTATATTTTAGTTGACACTAAAAAAACATTGACCAGTCTTATAATTCAAAATATTTAAAATAGAGTTTTCTATGTTTTGATGTTATTTGTTGCTTAGAAAACTGTAAATTTTACTAAACTTCTTAATTTTCAATAAATCTTCATAATCATTCTAAAAATCAACCTACAACCTTGCTATAGCAAGCTTTTAGCAAGAAAAAGCTTTTTTCTCTGAAATGCACACATTACATTATTATGCTATCAACTAAATAATATAATAAAATCACATTTTGAAAATAAAAAATTGCATTTAACCCATTACCTAAGGCTTTGTCCTACCAATGACTAAAAGAAATATATGCAATAGTCTGCCAATAAGACTATTGTATGCTCTATGTCTTATTTCTGCAAACTTACCATTCACTTTATCTCTAGGAGCATCTGCTACAACATAAAATGGTTTATCTTTGCTATTGCAATTAAAGAAAGAGATTTGAATTGAATTTGTATAGTGAACATTATTATCTTCATTCCATATTTCCATAGGATTATATTGGGGAGTCAATTGAATAACTGTCCATTCTACAAAAGATATTATTAAGATTCTATGTTTACTACAAAAATACACTATTAACACCTTTAGGCATGTCTTGTATTTGCTTAAGCATTTCTTCTACCTTCTTTTCCTTTGGGTACGTTGGACACTTAATAGATAAACTCTCTTTGGTCAGCTCCAGCTGAGAGGTTTTTTGCAAAGTTGTACTTTTGTCTTCCAATAGTTTTTCATATCTAAGAACAGTTTTGTTTCTTAAACCAGGAGAGTGGGATTCCACAAGATTGTATATAATATCTAGTTCATTATTTCTGCATTAATTAATGCTTTTAAACAATTAACTTCTGTAAGAAACGAAAAGATCAATATTCATTTTAAATTATAGGTTTAAATAATTACTTACTTTGGTATAATGGACCTACTGATAAATGTATATTTTCGAGCTCTTGTAAGACTTTTGAAGCATCTTCTAATTCATCCATCGTGTATTCAAATCGAGCCGAATATAATCGAATTTATTTAAAACTTGTAATAATATGTGTACGTTAAATTGTTTTGAATTTTAAATGACTGTCAATGTCAACATTGACAATAAACTGACATCCTGGACTAGTATCTAGACAATGACGTATAATATATAGACTCGGTGAACGCTTTAAAAAGTGTCCAAACATGAATACCTTTGTTATTGTTTATTGTTTTGATACGAAGATGCACGAAGTTCATGATTTCTTACGAAGCATCACGAAGTTGATCTTGTGTTTGAAAACATCATGGACGTATGAAAAACATTTTTTCCATTTTGTGTGACAGCAAATTTTATTTTAAAATGTTGAGAGTTATTTACTTACTATTTAAGTAAAAATGCCATACTATTTTATCAAAATAATTATTTCTCTTATAGACGGGAACAAAAAGAAATCATAAATATTTAATTTTAATTAAAAAAATAATTATTGTCATTAACATATAAATGAGCACGCCGCTGTTGTGATAAAACATACCTTCAACCTTGAGCGAGATCTTTCGGACACTTCATTCTATAGCGAGACATAGGGGACTGCGTAGTCTATATATTATACGTCATTGTATCTAGAGCCTAACCTAACCTAACCTTCTTACCTATGATCTAGAGCCCGACCCACTATTTGTGCAGACTTGCGCAGTTCATTTGTATTCAGTTCTGAATGTGTCAATGGGGTCAATTTATAATATCTATTTATTAAATGATGAATAGTTCCTCGAAAAGGTGTTTTTCTTTTAATATTTTTTGTCGCGCATATGTTTCCAATAAAAATGTGGGCAGAAGTATAGAGAAAGTGCCGATAAAGTTGGCATCAGGTTAGCATAAACGTCATGTCAAATTTGTGTTTGCGGTGTTGCCATATCACAAATAAATCACGAAAGAGCATGCGATATAATATTAATTAATGTTACTAAACATTATTTTTAAAAATTATTAAAAACAAGTTGAGATACGAAAATGAACTCACTCTTCTTTATTGAAATTAGGTATAAAACCTTTTAAAGTCATAAGGAGACACGCAGAGAGTGATCTATTCATTAACCACCCTGTATCCTAAAATTAAAACTATAACATGCAATATATCAAAGTTCTGGGAATTTTGTGCATAATCCAAAAAATTTATAATATACCTAACCAATGTTTCATTTAAAATAAGAAAGTTGGTATCATAGTAATTGATATCTAACATTAGTCAACATCCTATATATAAAATAACAAATTTTTATTGGAAAAAATGCGCAAAAAGCATTTTTTAAAATACTTAAAAAAACCTTTAATTTTGATTTGCTATTATTTAGTTATTCTTATGCAACCAACAATACACATAAACCTCATTCTCACATGTGGACATGATACTATGACTATAAGATAAGATATTGGGCATGTTTTTGTGACGTCATTGGAGACTTGCGCGTTCGAAATGTCAGTTTTTGTATATATCAATAAATAATCTTTAATAAATAGTTTGGAGGTATCCTTATGTGTACGATTATTGTAATTATTAAACCTCTTAACTTATTTTCGCCTAGTAATTTCATCACAGAATGCACACAAATCTCATTTAACTTTAACAAGAATTCAAATTCTAGTCTCCAATGAGGGTCTGCGCGAACCCGACCGATTTTGAGCTACGGGAAGATCATATCTGGTTATTCATATAAATAGTATCATGCATGTGGATACAAATGAACTGCGCAAGTCTGCACAGAATCACAGAATAATAAACAAACAGAATACCCACTCTCCACGGAAAATTAAGTACGCGCATCTCCTCCGCGCAGACGTTCCGCCATGTTTTAGGAGGATTTGAAAGAAATTAGTGTTGTTTATGTGGTGTGCATGGAAAAATTAACCAGGTTTATTTGACTTACGGCAATCATAGACATACTATACAATTATATTAACATTGTTAAATATAATAACATAAATATAATATAATTAAACATAAATATAAACAATTACATAACCACACAAATCATATGTCTGTGTCATCCTAAAACATGGCGAGCGTGCTGAAAAACTTCAAAGGCGGCATCTGAGAGTGGCCCTTCTGATTGTTTATTATTCTGTGACAGAATAGTGGGTCAGGTTCTAGACACTAGTGACATCTGGTTCACAGACCACTAATAGGTAGGTGATCTGTGATCTGGTTCAAAATGTTTCACCGCTGTGGTTGTATAAACCATTAAAAACTGAGAATAAATAAAACTGCAATTATGAAAGCTCATTAATTATTGTTCTTTTTGGAGAATATATTCAGTATCTGCAGTCAAATAAACCCAAACAAACAACAGTATTCATGTGAAAACTTGACAGAAACAATGACGTATAATATATAGACTCGGTGAACGCTTTAAAAAGTGTCCAAAACATGAATACCTTTGTTATTGTTTATTGTTTTGATACGAAGATGCACGAAGTTCATGATTTTATACGAAGCATCACGAAGTTGATCTTGTGTTTGAAAACATCATGGACGTATGAAAACATTTTCTCCATTTTGTGTGACAAGCAAATTTTATTTTAAATTGTTGAGAGTTATTTACTTACTATTTTAGTAAAATGCCATACTATTTTATCAAAATAATTATTTCTCTTATAGACGGGAACAAAAAGAAATCATAAATATTTAATTTTAATTAAAAAAATAATTATTGTCATTAACATATAAATGAGCACGCCGCTGTTCTGATAAACATACCTTCAACCTTGAGCCGAGATCTTTCGGACACTCGATTCTATAGCGAGAATAGGGGACTGCGTAGTCTATATATTATACGTCATTGGACAGAAATCACTTGAAGGCAGGTAGTAGATAGGCAACACATATTTTAATGTAATATTTATTTTTTTGGTAAAACATGTGCAAAGAGAAACTTTGATCGATAATAAAATACCATCTTAGATTATCACAGACATGTGATATATCATGTGTATAATTAATTTTAGATAAACTTTCTTTAGAGCCGACAAACTGGAAGTTTTCTTTAAATTTGGGTGTCCAAGAGTCCCTGCTATTTTTTCACCTATATATCAATTTTGAAAGCTCTTCAAGTAAACATTTCAAAATCACACATGAAAAAAAATGTACAAAGAGCAAAATAAAATTTACCGGTCTAAAGGAAAGACATGACTATATTATAGGTCACAGAACTAATATTGATAATCAATTTTAAAAATTATACAAACCCCTTTAACACGTTGCCTGCCGCCTCGGTCTATGTGACGGAGAAAAGAAAATGCTCTGCACGCCAGCGAGGTGAATTTGACCGAGTATTTTAATGTAACTGTGATGCAGTCTCGGTGATTATGGCGTAACGGAAAGTATTACAAAATCCTCTATGGCAAGCAACATGTTAAAACATGCATCTTTCAATTTGGAAACAAAAGCCTTAAATAAAAAATTTTCAAATATGCATTGTGGTTATATAATTTACAATAATATAAACAATCTTATCAAACTATTCTTTATTTACAATTATATACATTCAAAACTGAAAATTATCTAAATCTTTTAGAGTTTCCTCAGCTTTCTTATCTGTTTCTAAAGAGTTGGTGCTAGGAAGCTTTTTCTTAGTACTAACTAGTTCCTTCGGTGCTGGCACTTCTGGAACACGCATTTTACTCTCGAGGCTCTTTAAAGCACTGTCTAGTTCAGCTATTTTGCTTTTATTCTTGACATTTATCTAAAAAATATACAATAAGTATTGTATTTTATTTAACCAAGTGGAACATAAGAAAAGAAAATATTAAAATTAGCACAAGAGAATCAACTAATGTAAAATCAACAGCAAACTGAATTATAGAGATTTTTAAATTAAATATAAGAGAAGATTACAAAACAACAAAAAAAAAACAATAAGGAATTAAAAAGAAACAAAAAAAATTAAGCTATACAAAAAAGTGAAAAGTTGTAACAAGTCAGTTATTTCGAAAAGGGCACAACTCTAGAAATAATAATTTTACAGGAAACGAAATAAACGTCTTATTTTGGTATTGATGAAGATATCTTTCTATTTTCGGAGTAGTCTCAAAATGTGATGCATGAGGAAGTTTCATTGACAAATCCAATACAAAAAAAACTTTTTGCAACAAGTACAGTCGATTCCAGTTTTTCACGCCATAACTTGTTTTCCCACATGATTAATATGGGCTTGGCCCTTAACTTTAGCCTTCTTAATAACTTCGTTTTTATACAGGGCCATATAACAATATACAATGGAACCTAATGGTACTAAAGATAATCGTCAACTGGTCTAACAAACTAGAAAGATCCGCGACTGTAACCACTAAATCACATGTTCAGCGCAGTTTGTTTCGAAAAAGACCACATCTTCAGATAAGTGGCCTTTTTCGAAATAAACAAGAGAAATACGCCTATCAAGATTAATAGTAACAAACAGTGAAGATGTGGCGTTTTCACATGTAATAAAGCTTAAAGGATATTTATTTAACAATAAGGAGTATAGAAAATGAATTGTTAATAATAAAGATGCACTTTTCTTCAGTATTTAAGGAAAGTAATAAGAAAAAATATGTTAATAAAGTGTAAACAAAAATTAAATCAAGAAACTAACAAGAAAACACTCTGTATTTACCTGCTTTAAATCACTACTGACAGCTTTGGCCTTGGCTTTGAGCTTCAAACTTTTAGCACCTGCTACCTTAAAAACATTACCTACTTTCTTCTTGTTCTTTCCCATCTTGCTCTGAAAAGTATTTGTAATAAAAAAGATTACTATATTAAAAGCTCTGTTTGTTGTCTACAGTTTTGTTAAGGGAAAAGGTTGTTGAGAAAAGCCTTTAAAAAATGAATGGGACATGTCTATGAGTAGAATGATGTTAATATATAAAACAGTAATTGTTTCTAAGGTTGTTATTCATAAGTAAAACTTAAGTTAACAATGAAAATGACTTGGGTTTTAAAGTTAACATACAACAGATTAGAGAAAAGCTTAAGAATTTGAGTTTCCAAATATTTAGATATCTACATCATTGTTTATAAAAAAAAGAGTAAAACTGTTTAACAATTGAAAAGCAATGGAACTGTTTTTCTTCATAAGGAAAGTGGTACACTATCTATCAATACCTTTTGCAATAAAGAAAGAAAAATCATTTAAAATCTTCAGAGATTTGCTATGAAGGAATCTATTGTATTAGAAGTTGATGCATATATACCTGTTACACAACTTCTTTTTGTATCTTGATTAAAGTCTTCCTCCAACTTTCTCTTCCCTTGGTTTCCTGTCAAAATATTTTTTTGTAACTTTATAGTGACCCTCATCATTTCTTTAAAATTACTAACGGTTCTAACTCTGAATATATCAACAATATCACTATTACTACAATTAAAATGATCTAAAACAAGCTTTCTACCAAGCTCGATATAATTTTCTCCTTTAACAAAACAATAAACAAATATTATAGGTATATTTTTAAAGTCTGGTAATTCCCCATTACTAAACAGCCCTTCAAAATATTTGAGAAATTCCACAGCCATCGCTGGTAGGTTCATAGTAATAAAAACATTCTGTTCATTCTTTAAGTGAGCTGTTAAAAATTGCTTAAAGTCAGTCTTTATAAAATCTGCTCCGTCTTTATTAAAAGATTTAAAATAATCTACAGGAACCTTATTTGCTTTGGAATTGTATTCCAGCCATTTAAAAGATTCAGGATTCAAATCATTGGCATAAACATAGCATTTCTTTTTAGCTGCAGGTATTGAAAAAGGACCTATGCCAGCAAAGACATCAAAAAGTACATCACTACTTTTAATCTTTTTAACAACCCTTTCATGTTCAGTACATAGTCGAGAATTCCAATAGACTTTGGAAAAATCAAATTTGAAGCTGCATGCATTTTCTTTGACTGTAGTAATCATATTGTTGTCTCCTTTTAACACTTCCATACTAAAATTCCTGTATGTATTATCTATTACATTTATTTTGTTTACTACTGACTTACATCCAGGAATTTTGTCATAAAGAATGTCAGCAATTATACTTTTGAATGGGACAAGATGTTCTCTGAGGTTTATGTGAACTATGTGGCCCATCTGGGAAAAACTTGATAAACCTACAACATTAAATAAAATATTAAAGTTTGTACCCACCTTTGACGATGTGGGAATCTACACAAACACGTAAATATTTACTCACCATCTTTTTCAGTTGGGAGGACAGCTTTAAGTAAATCTTCTGCAGAAAAATTATCATAAGTCAACTCTATATGTTTTGTTTTAAGATCATTTTTATTAATATGTACTTCTTCCAATACAGACTTTACTTCATCTGGTAAACCTGTCCAATCTTTAATAAATTCAGGGGACAAACATACATCCACTTTATTCTCCTCAATGTGTTCAACTGGTTTAAACTTTTTAATTTTAAGTAAGTGTTTCGTTAGTATTGGCAAGACTTTATTCAAGTTTTCCTTCTTCAATGATAAATAAGGGACTTCTATATCTTTTTTTATTAGGTCTTTATTCAATACCTGCATGCCTCGAATATTTGGTGGTTTTAGAATATTTTCCATAGCAGATTTTAATTGTGTGGAATAAAACTGATGACTAAGCAAATATGAAAGATTTTTTACACAATTATGAACTTGTTTATGAAAATTATAAATCATTTGCCCATTTACTTACATTTAAAAATCAACACATGGTATAACCAAAACATAACCAAAAATTGTAATGGGATTAATGGTAATGGTAATAGTATTCTTCTTTTTTAACTTGTTCATAAAACCTACCACAACTGATGTGTCACCCTCTGTCAATAAAATAAATCTTTTTTTAGGGGACAATTGCAGATAACCTATTATGGTTCGATTAAACAGCAATCAAAAATTTAATCAAAATAAAATTAGTTACACAGTATAAATTGTATTGGTTTTAAACATTGAATTGAAATTAATTTAAATACCTATTTGGAAAAATTTAACCTGTCACTTGTCATAAATTTAATGTCAAAGTTGTAATGTGATGTGACCTATACACAAGTCCACGATTAATAGGGAGAGTTTTACAGTTTAAGTGTTATTTAAGTGATAAAAGTGTGAATATAAAATCATTTGCCATTAAACTTTATTAAAAATTATTTCCCACAGGTATGTACAAGAAATTGTCTATTTGATTCAAAAAATATTTTGTGGATTTGGCTCAGTGCATCATGCATGACATCCACACTCTAGAGGTCCTCAGTTCAAATCCCTACGAAGTTCATAGAATTTTTATTATTATTAATGTTAAATTAAATTTATATGTTTACATTTTATTATTATACTTAATTGAATTTGATTAAATGTTTTTTAACGTTTTGTTTTATTAATCCCCTTATAAAATTTTAACTTTTTATTTCATCAATATTTTAAATAATTATAACTATTGCCAATCTTTATTCCCGTCTTTATCAATACAAAACCTTTAATTTAAACTAGAGTTATTACTTTTTGAATCCATTTTCAATTACATAAATGATTTACAGAAAAGTAACTTAGATAACAACAATAAAGAGCAAGAAAATATGATAAGATAATTAATTTTATCACAATTCCTTTAAATTTTATTTTGTCCTTTTTTAGGTATATTAGCTAGAATATTTATTTTGTTCCAGTTGCTTCTTATCCTTTCAAGTTATTCGACTATGTCTTTCTTCTTTCCTATTTCTTCTTCAGTATTTTCCACATAGATTACAGGCAATTTCTATTCCTATTTGATTTATGTTCAAAATCAATCATTTTTTCTTGTATGTACAACTTTGTTTCAGAATGGATAAAAAGAACAAAAAATCCGGAAACAAGCAAATTTTTATCATCACTCCTGATGAATTAGCCAAACTAGGAATTTTAGGAAAGATATCCAGTGCTGGAGTAAGTTCCAAACCTACAGAAGATACCACATCTAGTCCATCAACTTCAAAAAGTGTAGACAAAATCACTGAAAATCCTGATATTTGTAACATCTTAAGATCTGCTCTGAAGAAAAAACTTAAGCCAAAAACAGATAAAAGTGCAACTATCCATCAAACTAAAAAGTTATCCGTAAAACAGAGAATTGGTAAGAAGATTAAATCTAAGGTATTATCTGAAGAACTAGAAACTGCCAAAAATGCAACTGTCCATCAAACGCAAGAGTTATCTGTAAAAAAGAAAATTGTTAAGAAGATTAGAACTGAGGTATTATCTGGAGAACTAGAATTGTCAGGGCAAACTCAAGAAACACATGTTACAGGACCAAACACAACTATTAAATCTCCAAAGAAAACTGTAAGTGTTATTAGTAATACTGCAGTCAACTTAAGTAAAGATACCATACACAAGATAGTCGATAGTGTTTCCAGCTTGAATTCTGGTAAAAATATCAATTCAAAATTGAAATTGATACCAGCAAAAGTAGGTCCCCAAAACTTCCAAAGTACAATCGACACTGATTTTAAAAACGCTATACAAACAGATGACATAGAAAAAACACATACTGAAGCAGCAGCAACAGGAAACAGTATAACAAGCATTGTTGAACATCCTCATAAGAAAAACAAATCGAAAAAATCAAAAAATGAGTCATCTACAGAATGTGAATCTGTTATTAGTGATTCATATATTGTTGAACCTATTGAACAATCTCTTGACTCACACATTGAATCTAATGAACAACTGTTTCAAAGAAAAGTAGATAGAAATCAGTGTGATACATTGATTAAAGGATCTAGAAGTAGAAATAGTGATACAGATAAAAAGTTGATCAGAAATACAGTTATAGGACGATATATTTCCCGGAAACCACCTAAACTGCTTGATAAGCAATTAGATCCTAAACAAACAAGTCTTCTTCCTGTGAATACCCTTCTAGGATCGAATAATGATGTGGCAGAAACAGGGTTAAGTGACACAGATTTTATAAATAAAGAAATAATTTTTGAAGAGAAAAATCTAGATAATAAGACAAATTATGAAAGTCCAAAGGATCCCTCAATACAAAAGGAAGAATTGGAAAATGTATTAAGAACTCCAGTTGATACCTCACTAAGAGTAATAACTAACCCTGTAAAAGTAGATGAGAGTTACAAAAAATCTGCTAAGAAAAAAAGAGGTCGAAAGTCTAAGAATCGGGTGGTACCGGAAGTCCAAGCTGAAAAAAATTTAGAAGACAGTGAAAAGAAAGAAACTCAATTAGCTCTGATCACTGCAGTAAATAGTATAGAAAGAATGCAAAAAACGGAAGATACAGCCATCGCCTCTATAGATAACTCAGTAAAAGTACTCAGTACCTGTATTCAAGTAGATGAGACATGTGAAAAACCTGCTAAGAAAAAAGGAATTCGAATGTCTAAGAATCTGGTGGTACCGGAAGTTGAACATGAAAAAAATTTAGAAGACATTAGTGAAAATAAAGAAACTGAGATAGTACCCATCGCTGTAGTGGATGCTATAGAAATAGTTCAAAGATCTGGAGATACACCTAGCACCTATACAGATAATGCAGTAAAAGTACTCAATACGTGTGACCAAGTAGATGAAAACTATGAAAAACCTGCTAAGAAAAAAGGAGGTCGAAAGTCTAAGAATCTGGTGGTACTGGAGGTTGAAACTGAAAAAAAAATTAGAAGACATTAGTGAAAAGAAAGAAACTGAGTTAGTACCCATGACTACAGTGAATAGTATAGAAAGAATGCAAAAAACAGGAAATAGACCCACCATCTCTTTAGATAACTCAGTAGAAGTACTCACTACCTGTGTACAAGTAAATGAGAGCTGTGAAAAACCTTCTAAGAAAAATGTAGGTCGAAAGTCTAAGAATCTAGTGGTACCGGAAGTTGAACCTGAAAAAAATTTAGAAGACATTATTGAAAAGAAAGAAACTGAGTTAGTACCCATGACTACAGTGAATAGTATGGAAAGAATGCAAAAAACAGGAGATAGACCCACCATCTCTATAGATAACTCAGTAGAAGTACTTAGTACCTGTGAACAAGTAGATGAGCGCTGTGAAAAACCTGCTAAGAAAAAAGGAGGTAGAAAGTCTAAGAATCCGGTGGTACCGGAAGTTGAACCTGAAAAAAACTTGGAAGACATTAGTGAAAAGATAGAAACTGAATTAGTACCTATCGCTGCAGTGAATGCTATAGAAATAGTCCAAAAATCTGAAGATACACCTACCACCTATATAGATAATGCAGTAAAATTACTCAATACCTGTGTACAAGTAGATGAGCCTTGTGAAAAACCTGCTAAGAAAAAAGGAATTCGAAAGTCTAAGAATCTGGTGGTACCAGAAGTTGAACCTGAAAAAAATTTAGAAGATATTAGTGAAAAGAAAGAAACTGAGTTGGTATCCATCGCTGCAGTGAGAGCTGTAGAAATAGTTCAGAAATCTGGAGATGCACCTACCACCTATATAGATAATACAGTAAAAGTACTCAATACCCGTGAACAAGTAGATGAAAGCTACGAAACACCTGCTAAGAAAAGAGGAGGTAGAAAATCTAGGAATTCGGTGGTACCAGAAGTTGAACCTGAAACAAACTTGGAAGATCTTACTGAAAAGAAAGAAACTGAGTTAGTACCCATGACTAGAGTGAATAGTATAGAAAGAATGCAAAAAACGGGAGATATACCCACCATCTCTATAGATAACTCAGTAGAAGTACTCGGTACCCGTGTACAAGTAGATGAGAGCTGTGAAAAACTTTCTAAGAAAAAAGGAGGTCGAAAGTCTAAGAATCTGGTGGTACTGGAAGTTGAACCTGAAAAAAATCTAGAAGACATTAGTGAAAAGAAAGAAACTGAGTTAGTACCCATAACTACAGTGAATAGTATAGAAATAATTCAAAAAACGGGAAATACACCCACCATCTCTATAGATAATTCAGTAGAAGTCCTTAGTGCCCGTGTACAAGTAGATGGGAGCTGTGAAAAACTTTCTAAGAAAAAAAGGAGGTCGAAAGTCTAAGAATCTGGTGGTACTGGAAGTTGAACCTGATAAAAACTTGGAACACATTGGTGAAAAGAAAGAAACTGAATTAGTACCCATTACTGCAGTGAATGCTATAGAAATAAGTCAACAATTTGGAGATATTCCTACCTCCTCTATAAACAACTCAGTAAAAGTACTCAATACCTCAATAACTGAGAGCTGTGAAAAATCTGCTAAGAAAAAAGGAGGTAGAAAGTCTAAGAATCCGGTGGTACCAGCAACTGAACGTAGTGGAAACATTGATAAAGATAATGTCGACATAATTGCTGATCAACTCATAGAAGGAGAAAACGTAAAAGCTGAAGGCGATAAGAAAGAAATTGAACCGGTACCTACAATGTTGGGAAGTGCTTCATTAGGATCTCAAAAAACTGAACAAATATCCACAATCTCAATCGATAACTCAGTAACAGTACTTAATTCCCTTGTAGAAATAAACGACAGCTGTGAAACTTCTGCTACGAAAAAAAGCGGCAGAAAATCTCAGAATATAGTGGTACCAGAAGCTGGATCTGGTGGAAATACTGATCATAAAATAGCTGCCGAACAACCTATCGAAGATATATTAAAAAATCAAGACAAAAAGGAAGAAACTGAATCTGTTACAATACAAAAAATTGGAGATGCTGAAGAAGAAGATATCGATAGAAATTGCGAAGAATCTGCTAAGAAAAAAAGAGATAGAACATCTAACAATCTAGTAGTGCCAAATATGATTAACAAAACGCAATATACTGATACGAGTATCGAGCAAACTGTTGACAAATTAGGCCAATTACACAACGAAACTCAAGAAGAAATCGCTTCAATTAGTACACCTGAACAAATAGAAAATAATGATATCAGCATTGAAAAGATCGGTAAGAAAAAAAGAGGACGAAGGCTGAAATATGTATGGTTAGCAGGAGTTGAATCAGTCCTTTCTGACGAAGAAAAGTCCGCATTGAGGAATAAAAATATTGAACAACTGGACGAAGAGGAAAATGACAAAACTTCTTCTGTATCATCTTCTGACGTTTCATCCGTTGCCGTAGAAACGCCTGTTAAGCAGAAAAGAGGTAGAAAGCCAAAAACCGTTTCATTAACACAAACGCAGTCACTCACAGAGCATATAAGTGCCGAACAAAACGATCAAAATGAGGAATTTCCCGCCGATGTGTCTGTTAGTGAAACAAGTATTGAACAACCAAGCAAAAGGAGGAGGGGAAGACCTCGGAAAGGCGATACTCCCGCCCAGATAACAACTATTCCTATTACTGAGCCTATTGTTAAATATGACTTAGAAGAATCCAAGAGGGGTAGAAAACGGGCAAAAATAAACTATTTTGAAGTCGAGATGTCCACTCAAGAACCTACGAAAGTTACGAGAAAAAGAGAAGCAAGTGAAACGTTGGAGCCAAAGCAAACTAAAAAGAAGCGCGATAATGAACCGGACGCTGATTATAAAATTAAAGTTATCGACGAAGTCAATGATGAAGTTGACGACTTAAATAAACCAGTCAAGGATAAGAGGAAGTATGTTTGGAATGGAAATACCGTTAAGATGTGGAGTCAAATGTTTTCTGTTCTTAAGGATAATCCAGATGGTGAAAAGAGTGCTGTGTCTACGTAAGTTTTTTTTATTACATAATGTTTAAACATGAGAGATAAACTGTCTCCTGACAATACTCCTTACACTACACTTTACATTAGTATACACAGCTAATTTATTAGGTGGGGGGGGGGGGGGGGTAGAGTGTAAATTGTAAAAAAAAATTTATTACATAATATATTGGTACATTATAGTACAATATTTGCAGAGTATTATCTAAAATTTTAAGATGAAAAAAAGTTACTTTGCGGTGTTTTTACTATCCCATCGAAGTAAATAATTTTTCTCTCTTGGTAATTTTTCTAAAAATACTTTGTTTTTGAGTTATTTGCAACTTTTTATTAAAACGATGCATTAATTGGTGATTTTTAGTATTTTTTTTGTAAAAGACTACTATGAACGCGCATGAACGCGATAGACGCGTGCCTTCGATCGACCCATGTGCGGACGGCCTAAGGTTTTATTGCTTACAAACCAGTGAACATTGAACATCATTCAAATTTTTGATTGAACTCTTTGTATTATCTTAATGTTTGATGACTTTGGACAACCCCAAATCTCAATAACATAGGTCCAAAAAGTAAGTTTTGATTTTCGACCTATGAGTTATCTCATTTGTCTTACTTTAATATTAATCTTTGCTTTGTTGGCTTGGATGAGATATCAATGTTAATCTCTTTTCAAAAGTCAATCCTCAATACAGAAGACAGTTAAGATTTGATTTCACGTATAGTGGCTCTGTATATTCGCTCATACGTATTTCGTGCTATCAGAACTCATTGAGCGACAGAAGCTTCTGCACAGTCAGCAACACAACACAAATGATTCAATAAACCATTTTTACCTTATTGGAAATTAAAATGTACAGTAAATTCAACTTCAAGCTACGGACGATGGAAACAAATGCACGCTGGAAACACGCGTTTGTTCAGGACCGGACTAGTAAATTAAAGCTGCAATACAAAACCTTATATAATATTTGTAGACGTCTGACAGGTACAGATTATAGTACACCAATTTTTTAAATATAAAAATGATTTACAAAGTCGAGAGTTATTAACAATAAAATGAAGTATACAAAAAAAAAAGTTTATAAAATTATCGTATTTTATCTTAACTTTCAGAATCTGATGTACTGCTGTCATCATTAAAGTTGATAATGATAAGCTCAATTTGTGCCTCAATTAAATTGTTCAACTCCCACATTTTTGGCTCCACTTCTTCTGTTACATGTTTGACGCAGTTTTTTCCATTTTTCCATGGTTTACAGCAGACATAGCGTCATGGAATAAATTTTTAATGTCAGCAAATTTAAATGTTGTGTTATGCCATGCTACATAATTCTTGACTTCCGCCCATACAAGCTCGATTGGATTGAGCTCGCAGTGATACGGTTGGCAACCTTAAAACTATTCTATTTGTGCTTCTTACCAGTTCATCTACTATGTTCTTATTATATTCGCCTTTATGTTGTTTTAACGATTCTAAAAGTTGCACCTTTAACATCGTTTCTTCAAAGGGAATGTCTTTTGAGCGAAGCCAATTTGAATATCTGCTTTTTTTGTAGCCATAATGGGAATTTTTTCCAATTTTCTGGAATGGTAAGGGGCATTGTCCATTACAATTATAGCATTTTTTTCGTGTTGATAAAATCTTTTGGAGCCAATTTTCAAATGACTTCCCATCCATCTCCTCATGATAGTCTCCACTCTTGCTTAACTCAAAAGCCACAGTGCATCCGGAACAAAACCATTCTCACTTCCGATGTGACAGATTATAAATCGTTTACCTTTTCCTAAAGTGATATTAAAGATAATAAATAAAAAATTTAAGTTTATTAAAGTTTATTTGAATTACTGAGGGATTTCTTAAGCCGGTCGACAGCCCATTAAAAAATGCACGTCTTGCAGAAGTCAAAGAAGCAACAGCTTTGCACAAAAATTACTGGGCCATTTCACATTCGACGGAGGACGGAGCGGAAAAACCAAGTCCGCACCTGTTAGGGCTAACTGCATACCTTACGATCGTTCGACAATTTGGCCAATAGCAAGGAGTTCGTCACGTGTGGACTCGAATATCACGGTGACTTGTGTTGATTCTGTCCGTAACTTGAAGTTGAATTTACTGTAGGTTACTTATTGTACATATTGTAAATTAGAACTCTTTATAGTTGTTTATTTATAAAATTTGTTTTAATTTTCCAGCTCCACCGCTCGTTATCGAGGTCGTCCCAGAAAGTAAGTGAATTAATAAATTATATCTTTAACGGTTAGACAGTCTTTGTTGCATTATTAAAAACTCTTTTAAATATCCATTTATAGAAAAATACCGAAGATTATAGTATTAATAATCACTGAAAAATATTCTTTACAAAAAGAAAAATCATACGATTTGTACCTAGCGAAATCGAATTCAAATCCTAACCACTGTGCTTTCTAAAACTTGCAAAGCGCAGCTTGATAAATTTACTCGGCAAGTTATCTAAGATTGCATTCCACATGCTGTTCATCATGGTCAAAATTCGTAGTGAATTCAATTTCTGGAACTCCAAACGGAGTAAAGAAATAAAACATAATGCCGGTACTAGATTTTGGTTCGATACAGAGCAGCGACAAGCCGCTAATACGTATTTCGACCTCTTTAGGTCTCCTCAGAGCCACTGCTTATGTTTTATGTGATATTCTTTACCTTTAATCTTTTTTAGATATCACAATTTTACTAAAATTTACAGTCAGATTCAAATTGATTTAATTTTTTTTGTCTTAAGCATCAAATTCACATATGATTAGGGGAATGAAACCAGAAGTGTCACAGTCAATATCGCAACCACACACATACACACATAAAATCTAGTGGCAGAAAAGTCTAAGACACGGTTTATAGCGTAGACAATAGTATAATGAGTTTATTAGTCCTAATTTATTGTCTTTATTCTAATTTATTAAAACTCACGATAATTTATCAAAAGTCTTTATTTTATACTAATTTATTTTACACTTAATAATTACAAATAATTTATTTGCGTTCGATACAATTTTAACCCGATATCCGCGATCTTCTTTTTGACTGACTCCCTCAATAAAATTCATGGTATTTATATATAAAATGCCGCTATCTCGAAAAGTCTGGGGATGCACCGATGACGTTACATCCAGTAGATGACTCATCCAGCGGGTCTCGAAAAGTCAATCGCATTCTGGTAAATTCAGAGGATCGTCGCCGACGGCTAAACTGGTTATCCGTCCCTTTTGTAGAATTCTGACCTAGAACATTCGTGAATGAGTAAATATATTTACAGTTTTTATACGTCATAATATATTCATTATTTATATTTTATTTATCGTAACAATAGGATATCCATGGTAACAGTTATTGAAATCTGCACTTTGTCGAAACAGCTTTTCTAAAGAGATCATCATCATTCTGCCTTTACAACCCTGAGTGGGTCTCCTCAAGAACTTCTCTCCAGTCGTCCCTTTTCATAGCCTTTCTCCGCCAATGGTTATATCAAGGAGCGTTTTTCTAGCTGGGTCATTTTGTTTCATTCGCATTACATGCCCTATCCACCTCAGACGTTCTATCTTAATATGTTTTACGATATCAGGTTCCTGGAGATTCTACAAAGTTCTAAGTTTTATTGTCTTCTCCCACTCCATTTTCATTCACTGCTCCATAGAGTCGCCTTAGTACTTTTTTTTTTCGAAACATCCTAACATGTTTTCATTATTTTTTGTTCAGTCCAGGTCTCTGAACCATATGTTAGGACTGGGTGTATTATTGTTTTGTAGAGTTTTCTTTTTGTATTTCTCGACATAATTGTCGATTGAAGATGGAGATTGAGCCCAAAATAGCATCTTTCATCTTTATCTCTGCGGTAGTATTATTTTCAGTGTTAAGGAGCGTTCCCAGGTATATAAATTCGTTCACTGCTTCTATGACGTCGGTTTCTATAACAAGTGGACATATAATTTGTGATTACGTGCTTATTTTCATATACTTTGTTTTGTTGGTGTTTATTATTAAACCCATTTTTGTAGCTGATTCTTTCAATGCTCCATACGCCTCTCGTACATCGTTTTCCGTTCTCCCAACAATATTGATATCATCATCATAGGCCAGGATTTATACAGATTTACTATATCGCTACTTCAATACAAAAGAGTCACAAACCAAAATTACAGTTTTTACAGGAGAGCTATGCAAAGTTTTGGCCTTTATTTTTTAATAATTTCTCTTTTATTTTATATCATTTATATGCAACTTAAGTATTGTTAGAAAGGTAAATTTAAATTGTATTTGATATTGTATTCAGATACAACATAAGTATTTTCCTGAAAGAGATATTAGCAGATGTGTCTCTTTTGTATAAAAAATATTTGTGATATCATTATAAGTATTGAAAATAAAAGGACACATACCAAAGAAATAAAGATTTTAATCAATGTTTTTGTCATTACTTTATGTACAGGCTACAAAAAAAAAACAAAAGTTAGTTATAAAGCTAAATAAGTCTTAGTTTCGGAAACATAATAAAAGTCTGTATCTTAAATTACAACTAATGTAGTTACTCTCAAGTTACATAGATAAGTAGTGATAACTTATTAAAGACACTTCAAAAATGACCTATTATTTTTACACAGTACAATTATTATTTATAACTAGCTAATAAAAACACTGTCACATTTTGGTCATAATTTGTACTTATTGAGTATTAGTTGCATAAACAACTAGAAATATTAAGAAATCGCGATAAAAATGAATCAATCCTTTATAAGAATCTGTCTAACACTATACTTGAACATCCGTCTTAAAGATTGGAAAAGAATCCTTCATAATACTTTGGTATGATATTTTTAGTTATCAGGTTAAGAATACCCTGTTTCTTTGGTTGTGCAATTTTTAGCTTCTGAGAATATAATCTCTTTGGTGTAATGTCAGAATTACTAGAATTTTGTTGCCTTTTTTTAATGTCATCACAGATTTGACGCATCATCTTGATAAGAAGTTTTATATGAAAAATATGTTAATTTTTTGTTTTTCAATGTGAATTATCTTTCTTTCACACCATTTCAACCTATCTCCATCTTCGTTAGTGGTGTAGTTTCCACAAGCAAGTTGTTTGAGATTAAAGAAACTTTCATGGGTCAGTTCTTTCACTGAATAAGGCGACCCTTTTTTCTTTGCAGTTTTTATTAATATTATATATTGGTCAGGCACATAAATTGGAGAAGACTTCAAAGCTCTGGACACATTTCTTTGAATTGTAGAATGAACCGCATCGCTCTCATTTTGAGTGTGTCCTTTAATTAGAAATTTATGAGTAACACTCTTCAGTTTTGGGAATGTATTTACGGCATATTGATACATTGCCACCATATATTTATTTTTTTGCTGACCACAGCAATTGTCGCTATAAAACACAACGTCGAAATCATCAGTTGCTTTGTTTTGTAAATATTCCAAATACATAAACACGCACGAACCAATTTCATTTACTCATCGTGCTCCTTCTCCTTCATGCCATACAAAACAAGTTGTAGCTTTAGAACCCAGTTCCGTAATTGTAAAATTAAGTACATTTACTTAATATATAGAAATATATATTAAGTATATATTATACTTTAAAATTAATATTAAATAATATTATATATTATTATATTTCTATATATAAATATATATATAGAATATAATAAAAACTAGAGACTTCGCCCCGTGGACAAGGCATTACAGCCTGCAAATCATATACTGCAACTATAAAATTCTCAGTAACTTTTTGTTTGTCTTTTTCTTTTTCGGATCTTGAAAGGATTTTCTCTCTCATGTGGTTTTCATGTTTCGCTTGTAAACTTGTTTTATCCTCAGCATTATTAAGGATGTACATTCTTCACACTGGTCTTTCTTGGGCTGCCAGAAGGAGATATTAAAGTCTGTCATAAAAATATGATAATACATTTGGTATGGAACATATTGTTTATCCTCAGAAACACAATTTTCAACATAATTTCGGTGTAAAGCAGCAATGGTAAGACTGCCTTCTATATATTCACGTTTAGAACGAAATCTACAGTAATGGCTCTCGATTCTCGGAATGGAGTTAATATGATTCCTGACGTCGTCCTTTAGAGAGGGATTAATCTGGTGATGATTATTGTGTCTTCCTCTAAGGTCTTCATCCTGAATACCTTTGACAGTACAGTTGTTCTTTCTCACAACAGTTCTGATGGTTTTCTCGGAAATAGCTAGGGTTATCATAAAGAATATTTTGCATACTCTCTTACGTTCAGTACCTAAAGGCAAATAGTATGCGTTGTTAAAATTTTTGCGAGTACTGTCAACGCGTATATAACGATACTTTGGTACAATTTCAGCCATATTGGAGTAAATAAATTGTCTTTGTACTTTTAAATCGGCAATTTTCCAAAACTCATTAAAAATTGTTAGTCTTTCTTGGGCTGTAAATTTTGTAAAACATTGTAACCTACACTTATCAGCACAAACTGGTTCCATTTTTTTTCTTCAATCTTTTTCTTAGATTTTGACAAGGGTATATATGCCTTACCACTATTTCTTAATAACTTGGTAACGTTTCTTGTCCATAGATTTGGATTTGCCTTCCTTTTGCGACCTTTTTTTTCATTGTTTTCATTTTCAGATGTATCGACACTACTTGATAAGCTATCGTTAAAGACCTCAGTATTGGTAGGCAGCATATCAACATTGGGTGGTTGAACATCTATTGATATAGACTGGATGTTGACAGGGGAACATTCTACAGTCAATTTATTAGTATGTACAATTTTTTTGATTTTGCTATTAAAACCAGAAGATCCAGGTTGTGAAAATAATTGTTGCTCTTCAGTTAAATGCCTTAAATAAACATTATTTTCATCCGAATAAGTGTCACTCTTTAGTGAATCGTCCTTGCTTGGAAAGTCGGGATCCTCAACACTGTCGTCTGAAGAGAAATCAGCCCTGGAGCTGCTTGAAAACGAAGACGAACTACCTGAAGACGAAGACGAGCTGCTTGAAGATGAAGACGCAGAGTCGCTGTCTAGGGTATTAGCTTGGTAGTTTGTACCATCGTCACTAAAAAGATTTAAATTGTGTTGGCTACCAGGTATGGCATTAATGCATGGTTTTGTTGAATCGTAAAAGTAGTGGATCAACATTTTGTGGTTGGGTTTCCAAGTTTACTAACATAGGCAGAGTGTCATAAGTGTTGGCTTGCTCCTTGAATCCGGATTTCTTGAATTTTCTCAGGTTTATTAGTACTGGTTTTACACCCAACCATGTCGAGGATTCTATGCACTCTTCTACTCATTCTGCAACAAATAAATTGTTGATGTACAATTAACAATATCAGATTTCTCTTTTTATTAGAATTGCACAAGTAAAATATTTTGGTTTTATATAAATACATAAATATAGACTTCAGATATCAGAGCTGGGAACAAATTAATTACAATTAAAAATTATGTACTTTACTTAAAAGTAAAAATAATTTATTTCCTTATACAGCTGTGATGTGATCGTTATACATATTTTCTTTTTCGAGATAAGAATGTGATTACTTTTCACTATGATATTACGAAGCCTAAACAAAATTAAAATAAAAGACAATCAGTCCCATTAATAATAACTTACATAACAATGAATACAATATACAAGTAAATGAAAAAAACTGCATTTTACTTTATAATAACAGTTTACTGTCATAAAAAATGCAAAAGAGTCGTACATTTCACAGTATATGGCCCTTTTTTAATTTAAATGATATAACAGCTCCGAGAATATCATAAGCAAAATGAACATATTCCGTAATACATCCTTTTTGATTAAGAAATAAATATATATATATATATATATATATATATATATATATACATATATATATATATTATATATATATATATATATATATATATATATATATATATATATATATGCCAATATTTGTATTAAATGGCCGTATTTCATTACACATCCCTTTTGTTTAAGAAATAATATACTTACGTGAATCTTCTGTGCAAAACGGACGTACTTTGGAATGTGGCACTTTTGTTTATAAAAACGATAACAACGACTATTATAGGGTTTTTTGAAATGTGGCTGTTTAACACAAAAAAAAACGTGCAATCACTTCGACTGTCAGGACGCAACTAACAAACTGGCGGTTTGTTCTCTCAAATATAAAAATGCAAAAGGGGCGCTAGTGTCATTTCGATATTAAACAACTTAAAATATGTAGGGGTTTCAGTGGTATATCAAAATATGACTGCTTAACGATAGATTTTTTGAATAAACGCTATTTTCGATTTTTTTGATATGTGGCCCTTTTGTATGGAAGTAGCGATATATTGAACTAGTGGTTGTGATTTGTGACATACGTATTACTTTTTCCAGAGCCAGATTGAACAGTATACAGGAGAGAAAGTCTCCTTGGCGCAGCCCATTATCTGTTTTAAAAGGTTCAGACAGTTCCCCTGAATTCGTACTCTACATTCATTTTCTAAAGAGAGTCGTTGTGCTAACTCCATACCATTTTCTAAGGTTACATTTATAACAGCAGGTTTCTGCCTACAACCTGGAGCACTCTTTCCTTCTAGCTGTCCTTCTATTATTAATTTTAGGAGTCAATTTTCTTATTCAATTCTAGAAGGACTTCTTCGTTACTCATTCTATCCATCCATGATTTTCTGAGGATCCTGTGATAGCAATGTTCAATTCACAGGGAATATTAACAATAACGTTACAATTCAGAATTAATAAAAGCACAAGAAGGAGCATTTGATTTTTAATGTGACAGTCTATGCTTTGGAAACAATATGCTGACAATTCGATTGAATTTTGAGTTTAGAATACTCGTTCGTTCGTATTGTATATGTATATAGTCCAAGAAATAAAAGTTTACCTGACAACTGCTTTGGTTTTTATCGAGAAGTACGGACATATTAGAATATCGGAACACGATACATCTTCATCATTTCATGGAACCTTGATGTCTATCGATTTTATATAAAAGTTAAAATTTTGATTGGTATTTGTAGATATCATGACGTAAACCGGTCCTTAGTATGCGATGATCAAGACCAAGTAACGTGTGTTATTTGTCGAGAAACTGTTTCATATGAGGATTGGTCTGATCATAATATAGATAAACACTACAATTTGGCTTGGCGAGTCGGGGAAATTCAGTTGGTAAGTAGCTTTTCTCGGATTTTATCCAGTTAATTTAACTATAATACATTGGTTCTCTTTTAATTATCACCTTGACTGCGTAACGGAAAATCTGTACTTTGTCCTTCTCTGCATTACATATCGCCGGCGATATGTAAGTACACTTAAGTTTTGTGCGTTACAAGTCCCCGGGGATATGTAAGTAAAGTGACAAATTTTGACATCTCTCAGCAAAAGTATCTAATTTTATCAAACGAAAATAATAAATTATGGAACCGAAATAAATTAACTTTATTCTGCTGGCTTCGTAGCTCAATATCATTTCGTATCAAAACGAAATATGATTTTTTTAATAACTATTCTAAGAAAAAGTTTCCCATGGTATTTATTAAAACAAGATAAACAAAATCCAGGCATATTTGGACAATTATTACAAAAACTTGTTACACGGCGAACTTTTTTGTCAGATTCTCTGCTGTTTAAAGTTGTTCGTAGTGTTTGGTAACATCCTTTACATGGTTTCCTCTTTTTTCGACCTGGACCATCAGGTTTTACAAACATATGAACCCTTTTTTCTCATACCATCTACAGGGCGTTGTACTCTTTCATCAGATACTGCAAGATTTTCAGCCAACTGTTGCCTGAAATCCAAAATTCCAATCTTGTTTGGGCAACCATATTGTAGACCACCCATGCATTAACTAATGATGTACCCAAAATTAATTCAAACATGACTTTTCTACAATAAATTAGCAATGTAAAATGCTGAACAATTTGACAAACTATAAGTTACCTATAAGCATGACAATTTTAATGTACACAAAAAGGTCAAAGAAATAACGGGTACTTTTAAAAAGCGAACACAAATGAAACTCATAGACACCAATGGAAAATTAATCATTGACACCCAAGAGATGATAGACAAATGGAGAATATATTTGGAGACACTTTTTCAAGATCAAAGAACGGATTATAGGCATCCATTTTCAGAGAGGATGACGGGCCCGGACATACTTAAATCCGAGGTAGAAGAAGCAATAAAACGGATGAAAAGCAGGAAAGCTGTAGGGCCTGATAATATCGAAGCTGAATTTTTAAAACTCTTAGAGGAAGAAATGTCTTGAATGTTATGTGTGGTCGATCCTATTGTATGGTTGTGAGACATGGACGTTAAAAACCACAATGCTAAACAAGTTAGAAGCATTCGAAATGTGGTGTTATAGACGAATCCTAAAGATATCGTGGTTTCGCACACTTCCAATGAAGATGTTCTTCAAATGATCAACTCAGAACGTCTGCTCATAAACATCATAAAGAGGAGAAAAACAGAATACTTCGGCCATATAATTAGAGGACCCAAATACCATTTACTTCGCCATATAATACAAGGAAAAGTGGAAGGAAAGAGATGGATTGGTCGAAAGAAACTTTCATGGCTGCGTAATATTAGACAATGGTGTGGTTTCACAGTAGAAGAATTATTTCGCGCAGCAGCCGACAGAGAAAGGTTTCAGGAAATTGTAAGCATGATGACGGCCAACGTCTGAATACGGACACGGCACCCAAAGAAGAAGAAGAAGAGGAAGAAGGAATAATTTGGATCACGGCTGTCTTCAATAAAATATACAATACAGGAATCATCCCTGATAAATGGCTAGAATCAGAATTCATAGCGATACCTAAAAAACAGGGGGCTAAAAAGTGCGAAGAATATCGAACAATCAGTCTAATGAGCCATATGTTGAAACTGTTTCTTAGAGTCATCCATGGAAGAATTTATAAGAAGTGCGATTAACAAATATCGGACAGACAGTTCGGCTTCATTAACGCAGTGGGTACCAGAGAGGCACTTTTCGGAGTATAAGTACTGATTCAAAGATGCAGGGACGTTAACTGCGACGTATATGCGTGCTTGATCGACTATGAAAAGGCATTTGACAGAGTTCAACATCAAAAAATGATAAACATTTTAAAAGAGGCAGACCTGGATGACAAAGACCTCAGAATAATTTCAGAACTCTACTGGAATCAGACCGCATACAAGAAAATTAACGGAGAAGAAACAGATCACATAAAAATACTACGTGGAGTTAGACAGGGATGTATCCTATCGCCGTTGATATTTAATATGTACTCAGAGAAAATTTTTAACGAGGCTCTTTACGGAATAGACGAAGGCATCCTTCTAAATGGTGAAAGAGTAAACAATGTTAGATATGCCGACGACACCATGGTGATAGGCAGATAGTTTAGAGGGACTTCAGAGGCTAATGGACAGTAATAAACGAGTAAGAACATGGTTTAAGAAAACCTCAACGGAGCTGTTTCGAGCCGCACGAGCAAGGTTATGATTGCCAATATGATTTCCAACATCCGAAACGGATAGGAACCAGAAGAAGAAGAAGAAGAAGAAGAAGAAGATAAGTTACCTATAGCACTTTAGAGATTTTCTAACTAATGTATGGTAATAACACATTTGATTGCTAAAATCTACCCCCTTTTTAGCTTTGTTATAGTCAACGACGCACTGTGGTTTCGAAATTTCATCACCTTGTCTATTACGTTTGCCTAAAATAGTAAAAATTGTAAGGTACTTATTATCAATAAAATATGCTGCATTGCCGTTATATATAATTAAAATGGTTTGATAAACTGGTCGTTTATCAAACCATTTTATTATTTTTACACCATTACATTCTTGTTCAATAACCTGTCCCTTTTTTAGCTTTTGACATATTTCTTTTGGTATTCCTCTTCTATTGCTCCTCAACGTTCCACACAATAAATAATTTTTTCCTTACATAAATCTTTGACTAGCGGTATGCTTGAGTAAAAATTATCTCCATAAATGGTCCTCCCCTCTTTTGGCTCAACTATTTTCAAAAGGTCTTTTACTATTGCATGCGAATGACCTTGTGGTGCAGTTGTCTGTGCCCTGTCCAGCATACACGTTTATATTAAAAGTATATCCATTTAGAGAACATAGTTTATATAGTTTGACTCCATATTTATGACATTTGTTAGGGATGTATTGCCTAAAATGTAGTCTACACCTGAAAGGCACCATTGTCTCATCAATAGTTAGTACCCTTCCAGCGTTTAGAATATATTATTTTACTAAAATGTTTAATATGCTTCGAATTTTGCTTAATCTGTCACCAGGTGGTGCATCTTAATTATTGGCAAATGTATGAATTTTAAAAGTAGCAAGAATCTGTCACAACGCATTGTTCACGCTGTAAACTTGTTATGGAACATTTTATCTTTTGACCAATAAGAGTTTATGGATGGCACCTTTGTAATCCCCATAACAATAAGAATAGAGAAAAACTTAGGAATTTCATTTATATCTGTATCACTCCAACTTTTAACTCTTGACTTCGCGGCATGTCCTTTGTTTATTTGTTCAGTGGCATGACGATTAGTTTCTGTGACAATAATATCGAAAACTTCATTGTTTATGAAATATTTAAAAATATCAGTAGGGCCTGTAATTTCGGTTAGATCTATGTTATCATTCATTTTACAATTATCAATATACGTCTCAAACTGATAAAGGGGTAATTGTTGTATTTTTCCAAACACTAGAAATATTCTTCTAGTGCTCTCATCAGTCTCTGATTGTATACCATAGGTTTGTTCTTGTTCGTCAGAAAACGCATTGTCGTAAAGCGATGGATGAAAAGTACGATCTAATACATAATCGTCACTATCAAAAGGATCAAAATCTGATGAATATACTTCTAAATTAACTTGTTCAGCTTCATTTGTTCGCGATGATGCTAACAATTTGTCCACTTTGAGTTGAAAATCTGATAAAGATCCTTGGCCTTCCAAATCAACTTGATCGTCATTAACTACACTTCTCCGCGATAATTCTAATATTTTTTGCGCTCTATACCTTCCTTGGCAAAGAGTAAATCACAACTAAACGTACGGATCTGAACAACAATACTGTAATCCCCTCCAAACATGCCTATAGACACGCTTGTACATATCTCCCGAGATATGTACCTTAATATCTGTATAGTTGGTTGCAGAATTTAAAATTATCTAGCTGGTTACTAAAAACAAAAATATATTACGAAAAATAACAAAGATACGTACTTCGCACATATATGTCGGTCGCCGAATTTGAGCTTAGCACACAAGTAATATAAGATACATACCGCCGGGATATGTAACGCACTCAAGGTGTTATACTCTTCTTAATTATAAATACCCTTTTTTAGTTTTTAGACGATTATTCTATGTTACGATCCAAACTACAACCTTTCTTTGCCAATAAGAAAACACTTTCTTGCCTAAAATGCAGTAAAGTATGTACGAAATTACTCGAATTTGTTTTCCATAGGGAGGAGTGCGAAGGTATTTTAGTAAAAGGTCAAGTTACTTGTGCTGTTTGTAATAAAACATTGGAGAGAAAATCTTGGATGTCTCATAAATTGAAACATAACAATTTAGCGTGGAGAGTTGGTGACTATCCATTGGTAAGTGATGAAAATAAATCAGTATATATAAATAAATGTATAATATAGTTTATTTAGATGGTCATTATATGAAATAAATCCACATATAATATTATACTTATACACTTTTTTGTTGAGTATAGGTACACTCCTTGTACTCCTAAATGTACTATAGGCGAGACTGTCTTTTATGTGTTATATATATATATATTATATATATATATATATATATATATATATATATATATATATATATATATATGTGAGATTCGTGCCTCGAATCTTTCGAAATGATCATTCGTTCACGAATGGCACGAATGATCATTTACAAGTAATTAAGAACTTCATAGAAAAGAGTGTTGAATATAACAAGCCATTAGTCATGATATTTGTTGACTACGAAAAAGCTTTCGACACAATAAGTCATCAAAATATGTTAAAAGCCTTAACAGAGTGCCGTATAGATCACCGCTATATAAACATGATAAAACACATCTATCAAAATGGGACAGCAAGCGTGAAACTGGCAGATAAAAAGACCAACGTATTTAAAATAAAACGGCGAGTGCGACAGGGAGACACAATTTCGCCAAAATTGTTTACAACATTATTAGAGCATATGTTTAAGAACGCAAATCTGAGTGAAAAATGAATTAATGTCAATGGAGAAATGCTTAGTAATTTGTGGTTTGCTGACGATATTATCCTTTTTGCTGACAGAATCGATGATGCAGTATCGCAACTGGAGAAACTATACCTAGCCTCCCTACAAGTTGGATTAAAAATCAACCACACAAAAACACAAATCATGACAAATATTGTGTTAAGCGAAAAGATTTCAGTAAATGGCATGCATATTGAAGAAACCACCCCTTTTAAGTACTTACGACATGAGATACGCATAGGAAGAGATAATCAAACGTGCGAACTAAGCCGCCGCATAGGACTCACTTAGGTGGCATTAAAAAAATCTGTACAGTAAAACTGGAATTGAATTTGAATTAGAATTGGAACATTGAACATTGAACATTGAACATTGGAATAAGAATAAATTGTAAATAATGAGTTTTTCGAAAACTTGTTACCTAATATGTATCATATTTTCTATTATTTTTTGATTGATAAAACAAAAATTTTATCCTTGGTGTGAATTGAACCCCAATCTTCTTGTCAATATACTACGTCTCTAACTATTACATCAATTCCACATACATTAATTGTTTTCGGACAGAACATACCTACCTTTATTTTAGTCAAATATTTCAGTTGAGTTATTTTTATTATTAAATAAACTTAAAGATTTATAATTTAAAATAGCTACTAATTAATGTTTTTTACTATAATATATCTTAATTTATTCAATTATTTATTCTAACATCAGAAATTATTAGAATAAAATATTTTCGAGGTTATCCGTATACTTATGACTGAAGTCCAATAGCCACGTCTAACGTCTAAAGGTGTGAGACTATAATGTAAATTATAGGTTTCTATCGATTATTTCTCACCTCTACGAGTTTCATCTCTTTTTATTTCACAAGCTAACTGTGTTTTCTATCTCTTACGTTAAAAAGCCGGGTGGTAAGGCACTCATCACTGTATAATATTATTACAGTTAATATTTTAGGATCTAAACAGCGACGTCTTGGTGTTAAAGATCCTGAACGCTTTGTACAGTGCGAAAAAACCTTTGACGTGTGAAGCGTGCGGCACGGTAAAAAAATCAGTTGTTGGCTTTCTGTCTCATCGTGGAGTGTGCGGAAAGAACGTCGACGAGGCAAAGGTGCCATGCGAAGTATGCGGCAGAAAATGTTTACCTTCGAGTATGCCATCTCATATGAAAGCGGCTCATGATCCAAACAAGAAGAACAACAGCGATTATTTTGATATCGACATCACCCTCTCGCACGGCAAGAGAAAAGCCGCCAAAAGGTAAGTTTAAATGTTAGAAAACTATTGCGTTTCTTTTGATTTTGCTACTAATTTAATTACTTCGTTTAATTAGACTTAATTACCAAAATATGAATGTTAGCTAAACTTTAGTCTATTTGTTACTGTGTTAAGAATACATATTTTAAAAAAATTACTAAAATACCGACGAAAAATAAGTAAAATAAATTAGTTTCCCGGCTACAAGCCGAGAAAATTACTTGTGCAACATTCAGATTAAATAATAAAAACAAGTTTCCATCCTCCTGAGATAGCAAGCGAAAATTTGAACTTTTCACCTTATATATTGGTCCTTCGAACCGGATTCGAACTAGCGCCCTACGAATAATTTGACCTGTCATGTTCATATAGCTAGTTTTTCGACTTTATCGGAAAATAAAAAAGGAGGCTGGAAGAAAACTGAATGTAAGCGAAGATAGCAAAAGTTTACCTTTACAAATAGATGAAGATAGGAACATACAGTGAAATAGATGCAATAGTAAACATTAACAGAAAATTTTACAAGGAGGACATACCAGACAGCAGAAGAACAGACCAGGTAGAATTGACTTCACTAATCGAGAAAAAATTACAGATGTTAACATCCTAAAAGATTTAAATAGAATGGGAATACAAGCTTGGAGAAAAGATGTGGTAGAGTTAGACGGAGGCAAAATGTACCTACAGCAAAGTCTCTCGGAGGATTGTATTGCTAGAGAGAGAAAGAGCGCGAGAGAGAATCTTCTTCTTCTTTACGTGCCATCTCCGCGAAGGAGGTTGGCAATTATCATGACTATTCTGATATTAGATGCTGCCGTTTTGAATAGTTCGATTGATGTGCATCCGTACCTCAAGTTACGCAACCATGAAATTCTTCTCCTTCCTACACTTCTCTTGCGATCGATTTTCTCTTGTAAAAGAAATAGAAGTATGTTGTAGCTTTCATTACGCATAACATGCCCTAGGTATTTCAGCTTTCGTTTCTTGATGGTTTCCAATATTTCCATTCTTTCGTTGACTCTTCTCATGACTTCGTTGTTTGTTACATGCTCGTTCCTAAATGTCTTCAGGATTCTTCTATACACTCACAGTTCAAGTGCTTCCACGCTCAAACGCTTCTTTCAACTGTTCTAAAGTTTTACTGTTAATTATCAGGCTTTTTTCATTATTTTGGGTTTTTGATATGCTTATAAATTTAGTTTTCTTGATGTTTATTGATAATCCATATTCTTCTCCATACTCAACTATCTTGTTCATTAGCTTTTAGAGGTCTTGGAGTTGTCTGCTATTATGATAATATCGTCCGCATATTTAATGTTGTTAATTGGTGTTCCATTGGAGTTTCTAATCTGGTCTCTCAGTGATATTGCAAGCATAATTCGTTCCATTGCTCTTTGCGTTGTTTCCAATTTTTTAGCACATTTTTTGGTAAGATCTACTGTCTCCAAGCCGTAGGTACAAACTGGTAGTATGGTTGTGTTATACACCTTTTTCTTTAAGTTTACAGGTGTTTTTCAAGATATATGCTAGTTTGCTGAAAACGCCTCATGCCAGTTGTGTTCTTCTTTTAATTTCAGCATCTTGATTTGCTTTGCTCTCTTGGTTTACATCCAAGCATCCAAGAGAGAATAGAAGAACAATTTCCGAAAACAAACAACCTCCGAAAAAGAAACCTCCGGATCCGGAACTCACTTCCTCGTTCTGTTCGTCAGAAAAACGCTTCAAAATGCGTCTCTTTGTTACTGCAATTACTATTATCCATGTATGTAGATCCAAATGATCAGTAGTTGGTCTTCGCCTCTGGTACGTTAAGTACATGAATTCTCAACAATTTATCCTGCTTTTGCATATTTAAGGTCCATTTTTTGTGTTATTTGTGCAAACTTTTGATGGTAATATTACGTCATTCATTCTTTGTAGGTACGAACTATGTTTCAGTTACATTACCAACTATCGTGTTTTTAACTTTTTTCTGTCTCATAATTTCATTTCTTACATCGTCGAATAAAGTTAAGCTAGAGCATCTTTTTCAGTACATCAATTTTGGTTGAGAAGTTTTTGTGTCACTTTTCTGCCTATGACAGACTGACTTCTCAGTATGACCTTTCATACTGACTAAAACATACTCTGATAAATATAGGTAAAGAAATAATAATAAGACTTACTCACAATCAATTTAATTTAACAATCTGACGACCGGTTTCGCTTTCTATAATTTGCAAAGCATCTTCAGGTCGAGATACAAAGTTAAACTAATGCTGCAATAAAATAAACCCAATTAGGGTGGTGTCTCATAAAGATAAAATAAACAAATAAATAAATTAGTTCATACAAATTATAGTAATTATGCCAATATTACATGTCTGTGGTTTTCAAAATGAATAATTTGAATATATAAAAGGTAGTAACAGACAAGGTAAGGCCCACAATTAGTATAAAGTAGCAATCTTTTGTTGTAATAAATTAATAAATGAGCAAATAAATAAAACAAAACAAAACAAACATTACTTACATGCCGGTACTCTATTAATTGATGGATGGTAGGTCATGGTTGCAAAAATCATGTATTGTTGATTGGAGAACTTTAATGAGCTATTGCAGTTGTTTTGACAATAAACGGGAAGTTCTTGAGGAGAACAGATTTGATCCAATGAATTAGAGATAGGTATATTGTTGTTGTTTGTCAGATGAAAGTGATGTTCTTTACTATTGTATTAATTAAATTATTTACACTTATAACAGAGATATATTTTTTGGAATGTGTGTTATTTATTGAGTATTTATGTAGTGAAGGAGACAGTTTTATGACAATGAATAAGAGTAGCTGTACCGATTGTGTGGTTGTGCAATTTTTGACTTGCAATTATCAAGTCTATTGGCAAAATTATTAAAGTATTGTAAAGTCAACTATGTTAAAAGGGTATATAAAAAGTATATAAAATTATTATAACTTAAGAATGATTAGGGACAAATTAAACACACATTAACAGGAAACAGAAACACTAAATGACGGGACAAACATTGAATTTAAAACTAAAACTTGGGGATGGAAGAAACTGTTAGCACTACATCTCACTTGTTGGAAGAAATGAGTTTTTTCATATTTAATCTATTAGATTTAAGAGGTAAATTTGACATATGTAGGTTGAAGTGTGACAGTTCTTCTTCTCTTACTAAATACTGTAAGTTTAGTTATTCAGTATTATGGAGTATGTTGATATTAATGAATGTATCAAAATTTTGATATTTTGCCAATAGACTTGATAATTGCAAGTCAAAAATTGCACAACCACACAATCGGTACAGCTACTCTTATTCATTGTCATAAAACTGTCTCCTTCACTACATAAATACTCAATAAATAACACACATTCCAAAAAATATATCTCTGTTATAAGTGTAAATAATTTAATTAATACAATAGTAAAGAACATCACTTTCATCTGACAAACAACAACAATATACCTATCTCTAATTCATTGGATCAAATCTGTTCTCCTCAAGAACTTCCCGTTTATTGTCAAAACAACTGCAATAGCTCATTAAAGTTCTCCAATCAACAATACATGATTTTTGCAACCATGACCTACCATCCATCAATTAATAGAGTACCGGCATGTAAGTAATGTTTGTTTTGTTTTGTTTTATTTATTTGCTCATTTATTAATTTATTACAACAAAAGATTGCTACTTTATACCAATTGTGGGCCTTACCTTGTCTGTTACTACCTTTTATATATTCAAATTATTCATTTTGAAAACCACAGACATGTAATATTGGCATAATTACTATAATTTGTATGAACTAATTTATTTATTTGTTTATTTTATCTTTATGAGACACCACCCTAATTGGGTTTATTTTATTGCAGCATTAGTTTAACTTTGTATCTCGACCTGAAGATGCTTTGCAAATTATAGAAAGCGAAACCGGTCGTCAGATTGTTAAATTAAATTGATTGTGAGTAAGTCTTATTATTATTTCTTTACCTATTTGATATGGACTCACACAAGCAACACATTCATGATCTGATAAATATCTATTTTCATTTTTTTATTCTTTTTTTTATTGTAATGGGATGTTTTTCGCTGATAATGTTTTTTACTAATAATAGTTTTCCAAATTTTTCTATACCTAGATCCTCCTATATTTTCTGCATTCTTTACTTTTGCTCATTTTTAGTCTTCAGTTTGTTGTAGTAATATTCCTCTTGTTTTTCTGCAATTTCTAAAATTTAACTTGAGCTGGTATTCGATTAGAGATTTTGCTTACGCATCACTAATTTTGAAACTGCGCAAAATTAAACGTGCAAAGAAATGAAATGTTAAAAAGTGCAAAGAAAGAATCAATACATCATAAAGAGTGTCCAAGAAAACAAACCAAGAAAAACATGAAACATCCTAGTCTGAACATCGGAAAACAAAAAGATTTGAAGAAGAGCCAAAAGAGAGGCTTGAGGCAGAAAATATGTATTATGTGGATATGCAGAACATATGCATATTCTTGTGTTTATGTTTAAAATTTAAAATTTTCCGTGTTTTCAGGGCTTTAGACAAGATCGATGAATTTGCAAAAGAAGAAGTAGGAGAGTATTTTAAGGTAAATATACAATTTTATTTTTCTTATTTGAAAATACGAGTGTGGATTTATATAAAACTAGCCTTTGATAGAAAAAACAAGTTTTTTGGAATTAAATCTATTTATTTCTCAATATAGTCTGCTCGATATACTTAGTAAGACGATGTTACAATTTTTTTATCCCATCCGAATAGTACTTTTGCTCGAACTCTTCAAAATAGGCCGAAGTTTCAGCAACGAGCAATTTTTTTTAGGTTTGGAAACACGAAAACATCGCTGGTGGCAAGATCTGGGGAATATGATGGGTGTTCAACCAATTCATAGCCCAATTCGTGTAATTTTGCCATGGCGACGCCCGATAGATGAGCTGGTGCATTGTCTTGGTGAAAGAGCACTTTTTGCGTTCCAAACCGGGGCGTTTCGACCCAATTCAGCATCGAATCGATCCAATAATGCTGCGTAGTACTCACCATTGATTGTTTTTTCTTTTTTAAAGTAGTCAATGTGGATGATGCTCTTCGCATCCCAGAAAACAGTCGCCATCACTTTGTCGGCCGAATGAGCACTATTTGCCTTCTTCGGCAGCCATTCGCCGCGTTTGCGCCACTGTTTCGACTGCTGTTTTTTTCCGGTGTGTAATATTGCACCCAGGTTTCATCAACGGTGATAAATTGGCGAAAAAAATCCTTCGGATCACACCGTATCATCGCCAAAACCGTCTCCGAAGTGGTCACACGTTTTTACATTTGATCGATTGTCAGCAAACGCGGCACCCAACGTGCGGATAGCTTTTTCATGTCCAAATGATGGTGAATGATGTTGTATACGCGTTCGTATGTTTAGGACCTCTATTAACTCGAGGAGCTTAATTCGACGATCTGCCATAATCATGTCATGGACTTTGTTGATCATTTCCGGCCTGGTGACTTCATTTGGTCTCCCGGGACGCTCATCATCAAAAACACTCGTACGACCACGAACAAATTCAGCTTTCCAAGATTTTACTGTTGCTAACGAAGGTGCAACCTCACCATAAACTTCGTCCAGGTCGGCCTTTACTCTTTTTGTGGAGGAACTTAATCACTGAACGATACTCGACTTTTCTTATTTCTACGAAAACTCAAAATTTGCTTGCTTTTGACAACTAAAATAATTGTTTTTAAAACTTTAAATTTTGACAGACGTCATGTTATGAATGGCAAATGTCAACATCGAAACCAATTCGGTATCATGTAGGGCCATCTATCAAAGGCTAGTTTAATATCAATCTATCCTCGTACTAGACATTCTTAGACTTTTAACGAATTAGCGTCGAATAATTCCACTTGTTCATATGTATATTACTTAATAAACTGTATAATCCGGCGGGGAAGGACCAAAACGATAAACATCTTATTTTTGCTTTTTTTTTTGGAAAATATTCGACTGTATCAGAGCAGCACAGCTTCAACTGTGGTATTTATTGTTAATCAGTCCAACTATCTTAATTTTATTATGTATTAACAGAAGTTAACAACTTTTTATTGAATTTTGACATAGTCGCCATGCATATAAAGTCGACTGGTAGGTCGTCGTCCTTGATTACCTTTTCCAGCTCGTGGCCTTTATTTCAGAGTCTTCCTGTGGCAATCTTTCCTTGCCAGATGATCTACATCTCCATTTCAATTTTTCCAGTTTCTCTCTACCGTTTTCTACTTTAGCCTTATTATTCCAAATAATTATGCCAGTATTGTTCTAAATATGAACTTTCTCTTTCCTCTGTTTTATGATTACTTTTTTGCGGATGATTTTGTTTAAGCTTCCGCTGATTTTGTTATATATAAAGTTTTCAAATACTTAAAATATTTTTAGTACTATGAGAAACAACTCGATTTTAATGAAAACGAGAAATTTAAAACGTATTTAAATAAAGAATTACACAGCAAGAAGTCGTTGAAATGTAAAATGCAGAATTGCCAATTCGAATCGGATAATACGTCAACGTTTTTGGACCACATATCTTCGTGTCCTTTAAAACCAGCAGAGGTAAGACATTTTTAATTTTATAGTACGTAAAATGTGTTTAAGTATTCATTTAAGTTATAATTCTATCAAATCATCACATCCTATTTTTTGCTTGAATCGCTTATAATTAATCTAATAATATATACTCTTTGAAGTATTACACGTGTAAGACGTGTTTTTCCACGCAAGCGTCCCAGGAGGACATAATAAAGCATTTACGAAAAGCACATTCACTCAAAATACGGGAAGACGATGACTATCAGAAGGGATTCTCAGACGAAGACGAGGAGGACGGAGTTGTGTCCGAAAAATCGAGAAAGAGAAGATCTATAGCCTTCCAAGAAAAGAAACAACAACTTGTTAAGTTGAAAACCGATAGCAGCTATACGGGTAAGTTATTTGTATAAATACTTCTTTCAGAATCCTTCTGTAACAAGTTATCTTAAATGTTACCCATATATAATTGATGGATTCGACCGTTACTTGATGGAAATTCATTTTATGTAACAATAAAACGCTTAAAACTTTGTTTTCAAACTTCCACAAAATTTATTTTAAATATTATCACTACAGCTGTTTCGGCTGATTGCCTTTCTCAAGTGATCTATTTTGGCTTGGGTTTACAAATTTATAGTCTCTAATGAAATAGGTTGAGGAGGGGTGAACTGTTTGTCTCAAGTTGGTCATTCAGAATTATATCTGTGTTTTTTAATTTGTTGATTTCCATAGATTCTAACAAAGATAGCTTAAGGCCTTTATTTTTGAATGTGAAGAATTTTAAATTTGTCATTAAAAGAATGATTATGATCTAGAAGGTGAAGTGCGTATGTCGAATCTGTTTTTCTATTCTTGAAAGCCCTTTTATGTTCTGCTATTCGTTTATCAAAGTTTCTACCAGTTTGACCGATGTAAGTTTTTGGGCAGTCGCCACATTGAAGTTTGTACACACCACTATTTAAGTGTTTTTTATTTTGGCTCTTGTTATTGTTAATATAGTTGCCTAGGTTGTTATTTGTTCGGAAAGCTGGTGTTATTCCTTTCTTTTTTATGTTTGTCAATTTTTGTTGTTATTTTGCCTGTATATGTAATCGAGCAGAAGGTACTGGGTTTTTTCTCTGGTGGTGGAAATACTAATTTCAGGGCTTTCTTGTGTAGTTTTTGATTTAACATTTTATTAATTGTTTGTTCGTTGTATCCGTTGTTTACTGCTATTTGCTTAATTATATTTAATTCTGTCTCAAAGTTGTCTTTTGACATCGGAATTTCTGTTAATCTATGTAACATACTATGATAAGCTGCCAGTTTATGTTGTGTTGGATGGGATGATGAATTGTGTATAGTCGTGTCAAATTAAAAGTAGTCCTGGTTTATGCAAACTTCAAGAAGATGTAAGATTTCAGATGTAATTATTGGATTTGTACTATTTTGGTCTAAAAGGTTTTTTACTAGAATAAAAGTTTCTGTAGGAGGGATACTAGGAAAAAGATTTTTTACGTCAAATGAAATTAATCTGGAGTTGTTAGGTAATTGAAAATGTTGTATTTTATTAACTAGTTCTATTGTATTTTTTATGGTAAATTTAGGTGAAAATTTAGTGTGTTCTAAAATAATCTCTAACAGTTTTTTTGAAAGTTTGTATGACGGAGCTGTATAAAAAGAAACTACAGGTCTTATTGGGTGATCCGGTTTGTGTAGTTTAATAAAAGAGTATAATTTAGGAGGCTGTGGGTTCATGATATTGAGGTATTTCTCTTCTATTGGATTTAGTATCGCTTTTGAATTTTCTAACGCTAGCTTAATTTGTTTTTGATATTTTTCTGTCGGATCTTTGTGTAAAGTTTCAATATTTTGATTATTTAAGAATTCTTAAGATAAGATTAAAAATAAATTTTGTGGAAGTTTGAAAACAAAGTTTTCAGTGTTTTATTGTTACCCATATATAGTCATATATTTCAATATTCATTCCTTTAACTTATAGAGAGGAATTTAAAGTACACTCACTGCTGCAGAATATCACAGTGAGATACTTTGTTCATTCATAAATCAACCAACCTAATGAAAAGGAAATACAAAATGGGCATTACTAATGATGGTGCAATAGCAAATAACTAGAGAAACGATTTAGTATCTTTTATACTTTCAATACAAAATTACAAATTTGTCTACTCTTAAAATTATTTGAGGAATTTGTTTAGCTATATTTGAGAAACTTGCTTTAGATTTGACTAACCCGGATTACTGAAAACTAAGGGAATTATTTTTCGTAAACTGTGCAAAAAAATCATCGCCTATTCCTTCGGATTGATCCATAACATCGCTGGAATCCCTCGGTAACCACGTGACGTCAATTCCTGGATAGAGGTGTTACGAACGATTCGGGGCTCTAAAACCAGGGCTCAAAACGACTTGTTACCCTCGTGGACAATAGATATGGGAAAACATTATGTTCGATGAAATGATACATGAATAAGTGAAAGCTTTATATCAAGTGTTTATAAGAAATGTATTGGAATATACTATAAAATATAGTCCGTCCAGAAAGTATCCAGAAAAAAGAAAGCAGGATTATAATTTAACGGTATTTATTTCTATCACTTGAAATATAAAATTTCAACAAATAATTTATCTCATTTAAATCATGAATCATAAGACTTACAATCAATTTAATTTAACTATCAGACGACCGGTTTCGCTTTCTACAATATGCAAAGCATCTTCAGGTCTCGATACAAAGTTAAATAAATGCTGAAATGATAAAAACTCATATTAGGATGTTGTCTAATAAAGATAAACAAAGTAGATGTTGTAAATTACAATAATTATGCCAATATTACATATCTGTGGTTTTATTTCAAAAAGAGTAAGTTGAATAAAAAGGTATAAAAAGTTTTAAAAGTTTAAACAGACAAGGTAAGGCCCACAAATTGTTATAAAATAGTCTATTAGATTGTAATAAATTAATAAATGAGCAAATAAATAAACATTACTTACATGCCGGTACTCTATTAATTGATGGATGGTAGAACATGGTTGAAACTTCTATGTATTGTTGAATGGAGAACTCAATTCTGCTATTGTAGTTGTATGACAGTAAACGGGGAGTTCTTGAGGAGATAGATTTGATCCAATGAAGCAGAGATATGTGTGTGATTGTTTGTTAAATGAAAGTGATGTAATATACCATTGTATTATTAAAAGTTATTTATACTTATTCGAGAGATATATTTATGAAATGTGTTTTATTTATTGAGTAATTGTTTTATGAAGGTGACAATTTTATGAAGGTGACAGTTTTATGACAATGAATAAGTTTAGATGTACAAATTGTGTGGGTGTGCAATTATTTTTCAACTTGTAGTTATCAAATCTCTTTGATAAAGTTCTATTGGCAAAATAGTAGATTATTGCAAAGTCAAGTAAATAAAATATTAGAATTAAAATAGTTAAGGACAATTTAAAACACACTAAAACAGAAAACACTTAGAAGGGACGAAACAAACATTAAATTTAAAAGGGGGAAGGATTTTTATGCACTACATCTCAGTCTTGGGCACAATGAGTTTTTTATGTGTTATTTATTAGATTTTAGTGGTAAATTTGACAGATGTAGGTTAGCATGTGATAGTTCTTCTTCTGTTTCTCAATACTGCAAGTTATAATGTGGGATGTTTTCCAATTACTCGTATTGTTACATTTAAATTTAATTAATTAAAGATTGTTAAAGTATGCCAATATTAAACACATCAATTTACTTTTGATATCTTAATTGAAACAATTTATAGACATTCATTAATATCAGCATATTTCATAATACTAGATAACCTAACTCTGGTTAGTCCAATCTCTGATATTCCTCAGCCAAGATTTCTTCTTTCTTCCCAAGCCTTTTCTTCCCTCTACTCTACCTTGCATGATGACTTGTAGCAGAGAGTATTTATCGTTTCGGAGTATGTGGCCCAGATACGATGTTTTTCTTATTTTAATTGTGTTCATAAGCTTTCTGCCATGCCCAACTCGTCTTAACACTTCCTCATTTGAGACTTTTGCAGTCCAAGGAATCTTCAAAATACGCCTATATAGCCACATTTCGAATGCCTCCAATTTTTTTATAGATTGGGCTTTCAGAGTCCAAACTTCAAAGCCACTAAAGCATTTAAATGGTTTCCGCGAATCTTACGAGGTCTACCCGAAACTGGTTTATGTCTCATATATATGCCATTTTTATCCTCTTTATTGTCTCATACACTGCACTTTTTCCGAGTTCAGTCAATTGCACTAATTTTTTAACATTTCGGACACACTTTTTATACAAATATTCCACCACTTTTCTTTTTTCTACTTGCGACATTATTCCACAAATCTTAAGTCTGTTTACAAACAACAATATTTGACATTTGGTGTTGTCATGCGATTTTGCCCATAACCTAATATCGGCACAACCTACTTGATGCATTACTTTTGTCTTAAAATGTTACAAAAAGGAAATCTATTAAAATTAGGAAAAATATAAAATACCGAATACTTTCTAGACGGACTATAAGATAAAATAAATTCCTATTTGATGACATTGGGTAAAGTTGTACTAAATTTTTGTTTATTTTTATTTTAGCCAGACCTTTCTTTGTCTTATCAACAAGTAGGAGGCCAAAAGACGAATGTCAGTTATTTTCTCACGCTTTCAAATTCGCATTCAAGTTGTAAGTATTAAAATTTAATGAAAATACACAAAAAAATAATACTGTCTGACTCTTTTAGCTGCGAGACACATTATATTGATAGCCACAATTTGAAGAACTTGATTTGTAACAAAGATGCTTGGAGTTTATTAGAAGAGGAATCTATCGAGAGGTATTTACCTTCATCAGAACTATCGTGTGGTGTTTCTGTAAAAAGTATTAACGGATATGAAAATGTTTATAGTTCCGAATATACTTTTAAAAACTATGAACTCTTTGAGGTGCAGCGAGAAACAGGTAATAACTATTCTTTCAAAAAACGCCGTTCTTAAAAAGTTTTATAAATACTTTAGATAAATCAGTTTTAAATCCTTTAAAGTTCCTAAAAATCTGTATCTGTATCTGTAAGTCCTTAATTCTTACTTAACCTTGAAATTAGTTAGAGGCCGCCTAAACTTACTCAAAAATCTTCCATAGCTTTAAAATTAGTCATAAGCTATTTGAAATTTAACATTGGTCGAGCTCTTTTTCGATTGGTTACTATGTTCTTAGGAATCTACCAAAACTCTTAAACTACCTTCAAAATCAGTTATAAGTACTTTAAAATAACTTGTGTACTCTTTGGTAGCTTTAGAGTTAGGCATATGCTTAAGGACATCTTTCAAATCATTGGGATGTTTTTTAAAATCAATCATGAATTCATAGAAACATTTACAAATAGTCATGTGTCCTTTAAAATTGATCCAGTCAGTCTTAAATTCTTTTATAGCTTTGGCATTAGTTAAAAGTTCTTTAAAACCATCCAGACATTTCCGGACAGTTTTAAAATTGCTCCTATGCTATTAGTCATTTTTAAAAACAGTCGTAGCTCGTTTCAAATCAACCAGTTGTCCTTAGGTGGCCTTACAATCAATTAGACGTGTCTACTAACCTTGGATATTGGTTATAAGTTCTTTAAAATTATGTGTTTATTCTTTGATAGCTTTAGAATGAACCACATGCTTATGGGTATCTTCAAAATCAGTTGTTTGTTGTTTAAAATCAGTTACACCTTCATAGAAACATTTACAAATAGTCAGGTGTCCTTTAAAATTGATCCAGTCAGTCTTAAATTCTTTTATAGCTTTGGCATTAGTTAAAAGTTCTTTAAAACAATCCAGACATTTCCGGACAGTTTTAAAATTGGTCCTATGCTATTAATTATTTTTAAGATCAGTCGTAGCTCATTTCAAATCAACCATTTGTCGTTATGTGGCTTTACAATCACTTAGACGTGTCTAGTAACCTTGGATATTGGTTATAAGTTCTTTGAAATTATGTGTTTATTCTTTGATAGCTTTAGAATGAATCACAAGCTTATGGGTATCTTTAAAGTCAGTTGCTTGTTGTTTAAAATCAGTTACACCTTCATAGAAACATTTACAAATAGTCATGTGTCCTTTAAAAGTGATCCAGTCAGTCTTAAATTCTTATATAGCTTTGGCATTAGTTAAAAGTTCTTTAAAACCATCCAGAAATTAGAATTGGTCCTATGCTATTAGTCATTTTTTAAAATCAGTCGTAACTCGTTTCAAATCAACCAATTGTCCTTAGGTGGCTTTACAATCACTTAGACGTGTCTAGTATCCTTCGATATTGGTTATAAGTTCTTTAAAATTATGTGTTTATTCTTTGATAGCTTTAGAATGAACCACATGCTTATGGGTATCTTTAAAGTCAGTTGTTTGTTGTTTAAAATCAGTTACACCTTCATAGAAACATTTACAAATAGTCAGGTGTCCTTTAAAATTGATCCAGTCAGTCTTAAATTCTTTTATAGCTTTGGCATTAGTTAAAAGTTCTTTAAAACAATCCAGACATTTCCGGACAGTTTTAAAATTGGTCCTATGCTATTAATTATTTTTAAAATCAGTCGTAGCTCGTTTCAAATCAACCATTTGTCGTTAGGTGGCTTTACAATCACTTAGACGTGTCTAGTAACCTTGGATATTGGTTATAAGTTCTTTAGAATGATGTGTTCATTATTTGATAGTTTTAGAATGAACGATATGCTTGTATGTCTAAAATCAGTTGTCTGTTGTTTAACATCAGTTACACCTCCTTAGAAACATTTACAAGTGCTCATAAGTCCTTTAGAATCAATCCAGTGAGGCTTGATTTTTTATGTAGCTTTGACATTAGTTAAAAAGTTTTTTAAAACCACATAGATAGTTTAAAAATTAGTCCTATTTTTAAAGTCAGTCGTAGTTCGTTCCAAATTAACAATTTGTCCTTTGGTGGATTTTAAATCAATCCTGGATTATATAAAATCAGTTATACATTGACGGAAGCATTTACAATCAGTCATAAGTCCTTTAAAATCGATTCAGTCAGTCTTGAATTCTCATGTCTTCTTCCTAACGTGCCCTATCAAGTCCCCTTGACGTTGGCGATTAACATGGCGAAACTGTTTTTGTCTCGAGCTATTCTAAAGCGTTGCTCAGCTTTCCTTATTCCTGTCCACTCCCTGATATTCTTCAACCAAGAGGCCTGCTTTCTACCAATTCCTCTGCGTCCTTCGATTTTACCCATCATAATAAGTTGAAGAATATTATATCGGTCTCCTCTTACTACGTGTCCAAAATAGGCCATCTTTCTACATTTGATGTTATCAAGCAGCTCGCGAGCAGCATTTGCTCTCTCAAGAACACATTTGTCAGCATAGGCGTCCATGGAATTTTTAGTATACGTCTGTGCAGCCACATTTCAAAGGCCTCCAGACGATTAATGGTGGATGAATGAATGAATGAATTCTCATGTAGCTTAGTTAAAAGTCCTTTAAACCCGTCCAGACATTTCGAGACAGATTTAAAATGGGTCCTATGATATTATGTGTTATCTTTAAAATCAGTCGTAGCTCGGTTGAAATAAGTAATTTTTCCTTAAGTTGCTTCAAATCATAAAGTACTTTAAAATCGGTCCCTTCAGTATTGATTTCTTCTTTGATATTACTTAGAAATCATTTATAGCTACTTAAGCTCCCAAGTAACGTATAAAACTGGTTATTTTAATGTTATAATTAATGTTTTAATGTCCTTTTCAAACTCCCCAAGATGGGTTTTCTTCCGTATTAGATTCGAATCTTCTTCTTGTCATATATTGTCTTCTTGTGTGTAAGCTGGCTCATTAAGTAGAAACTAGAAAACTATTTGACCCATCCTTCGTCCTTATAGTCGAATTATTTTTTTTAGACACCATCACGATATTTTGTGGAGGACCAGTGCTTTCTTTGGCATGGTTACCAACTCCGTACACCTGCAATAACAAACCCCAAATTTTAGCCGTTGGTACTAGTCGAGACTTCGATGCAATGTACCGAATGGACGAATTTTGTGGTGAGCGCACTATAATACAGTTCTGGAATTTTGGTATCTTAAGAAATCTGCAAGAATTTTCGGAACCCACATTCGAATTTGGTCTTGCCGTCGATTATGGACCAATTTGGCACTTGGAATGGTGTCCTTCGGGATGTTATAATGTTGAAGATTCCGGGGAATGTACTAGGATGGGATTACTAGCTGTTGGTGGATCGACAATGGCTGTTCATATTTATTCTATCCCGTCGTTAGGAGAAGATAAAAGGTAAGTTGTATCTTTTATATATTTTTAGCGTTACTCAGTAAACAAAACATTAAATCTGATACAAAATATTGATTGACCTTAGGTAATTTAATAAGTTTTTTACGTGACAGTTTTCTCCTAATAAATCTGGTAGAGTATTTGGTATATTGTTTATTGAACGTTCTCTATGGTATTTTGGATAAATGGATAAATCCAACCCCACCATTTGATGAATTGTCTTCTCCCTTGAAATGGAATAGGTGGTCAGATTTAAGAGTATATTGTTCTTCTCTTCTTCTGAGTTCTCTGAGACCCATTACGTCCCACTTTATTGATTTTAGCTCTTCCTCCATTTCTAACAATTTAGACTCTGATGACATTGTTCTCACATTATATGAAGCAATATGCATAGGTTGTCGTCTATGGTAGCCTAGTTTAACCCGGGGTTAGGATGTATAATGGATATGTATGTTGTAATTGGATGGAAATTGTTTGGTTAGGACATGACTTCTCCTTGGTAGGGGACTGTGGAGAAAGTCAAGGCTTGCTTAAGGCAGGGTTGCGTCCCTTTAGCAGATCTGTCTTCTACCGGGGTCGTAGAAGAATATCTACTTGCTACCTTAGGCTGACTGTAAAGGTTAAAACACCTTTTGGTGGTGGGGTCGCCACATCCCTACGCCATTCTTTGCATAGGCGCTGGGTATTGCAGAAGAGTGCTAACACTGATGACACTGATGACGGTAACACTGATGACATTTAGGAGATATTAGAGATGGGGCTAATCGTTCCATTCGATGAACTCGCTGATCTGAATTATTTCACCAAAGTTGCAATAGTGTTGTTATAAATAGTTATATTTTTCTTTATATATTGAGTATTGTGTTTAATTTTCTAGTGGTTTATTTTACAAACCTCGACCTATTTTAAAACTGCAGCTAACCGAGGACGAAGCAGAATTAAAACGGATGTCCTTTCCCACCAAAATATCGTGGAGTAAGGTTAGTATACCCGTCTCGCGTTGTTCATCTAGTTTGCTTCACAATATTCATATTTTTAGACGAATAGAAGCGGTTCTATAGCAGTGGGCTATACAGACGGAACAGTGGCTGTGTACAATCTAAAAACAGTCTCGAATATGTTTGATTGTCAAGACGAAAACTCTACAAAAATTTTACTTCCTTCCAAGGTAATAAAGGCTCATTCTCACTACGTATCAGGTAAGTTGGACCCTGTTTTGCCGTTATTTTTAACATTCTCTAAAGCTTGTTATGTATCAGTTTTTAGATAAGCAGAGGATGATATGCTTTAAATGGTCCCCACCACTACGACTCTGACGCCACAAGAACCGCCTACGGACCTGACAAGCCCGACTCAATGAAGACTGAACACTAACATAATATGTGACTGTAGGCGTGGCTTTCAGAGTCGAAGTGATGCAGGGCATCTTTACGTTACTACTGTATCACTTCATCCCTTCAATATTTTTAAGATTTTTAGTTCTTCTTTTATGTTTAATTCATGGACGTATAAACACAGACGGCCTCAGTTATTTACATAAAATTGTGAAGTCAAAATTATTTGAATAGGTCACATTCTCAGCACCTTCAACTGTTGTCACGTTTTTTATTAAAATTTCTTATTCGCGAGTCACTGAAAACATTACTCCGTATGTTATACTCTACAGGTGCTATCAAACCAAAATAATAATTTATTGTTATATTAATATATTTAATTGTAATCCAAATATCAGGTGTGCACATAGTGTGCATTATCATTTAATAATAACGTATAATAGATATCAATCATTTTATATGTAGAAGCACTGAAAACTATTTATAAATGGCAACGGTGTTTACATTTCTCTGTCTTATGGCCTACGTCAAACTTCAAATGCATGTTTGTTTACTTTTTACAGTAGATGAGGAAAAGTTGTTTTTCGATATTTTGGCTGTATTTTGAGTGATATTTGTGAAAAGTGAAATAAACATATTATAATAATGGTGCTACAGTTTTGCATTTGCAAAAAAAAACGAAATATTTACATCCCGATCTCTCATTTCATTTGTAAGTACTGTCTGTTTACATTATTTAAATGTTCATTAATGTATTAAAAATAAGATATGAGTTTATGAAATTAGTAGACATTTTTAAATTGTAAGTAGACATCACCTGATTAAAAAATATCTGTTTAGTACCTTTTTAATTTAATATTTCTCATGGATGCAAATAAATTAGTGAAATGAATAAAACTCATTTATTTTTCTATGTAGGTTTCCAAATAATATTGACGATCGAACTATTTGTAATTGTATGTAAATTTTTCTATAAAGACGTGATTTGTTAATAGTTAAACTCTTTTTTTTTAATTCTTCGAACGTGTTTTTATACATTATTATTACTTCCAATTTTTAAAGTCTGAATAATTATCCCCGCGAGTAAAAATTCAAGCCCGCTTATGCTCATTGAGGAAGCATCACATTCTATCGAAGCCTCAAAACATTGTGTGTTAAAGGTATCTTATTGCTGTGTCCATCTGTGTTTATACGTCCATGGTTTAAATTCCATCCACTACATGTCTTTTAAGAAAATAAAAATTAACCCTTTCGTTTTAGCACTTTCTTGGATTCCTGTCGGTAATGATCGATTTTTATTCAGCGGATCTTTTGACAAAACCGTCTACATATGGGACTTATACAGTGAGGATAAATTCTCTACGAAAAAAGGTGGAATTGTGACGGACGGAACCTGGTTGACAAATTGGATGTCTCATATTGGGACCACCGAGGAATCCTCGCCTAGAAACTGTGAGTAATATTGATTAAAGTTTTCTTGTCTATCTTTACATTTCTCTTATTTATTTTTTCTTCAATTGTCGCTTATTGGGTTGCTTCATGTCTGATATTTTCTGTGTGCTTTTTTGAGTTTTAGAATATTAGTGTCTCTATACTAATTTCCCAAAGTTTTTTAACTTACGACTTTACGACCTAAATTCCTCGATCGTCATATCTTAGTTTATTATACCGAATATCGTCACACCCATCTACCGAAATAAATAAACAGTACGTTCTTTAGTTACTATATCTTTTTCTCTATCGATACACATCATTGTTCTTGGTTTATATTCTTTTCTACTTTTGTTAAGTTTTTGTAGACTTTTCTGTTTTCTGATGGTTTATTTAGTTCTTCCATTTCTTGGAGTTCTTTTTTTATGTATTCTCTTTTCTTTCTGTGATGTATTTTGTTCTCTTCCCTCCTTAACATTCTATATTCCTCCTCTGCCTTTCGTGTTCTATGCCGTTGTTGTAGTCGTTGATATGCATTAATTTTCCTCTCTGTTATATTACGACACTCTTCATCGAACCACTGTCCTTTAGTTGAATTGGGCTTTTTTTTAATTTTTTTTTAATGTTGAGGTTCTCTACTTTCCACTAGGTAGTGATCCGAATCTGCATTTGCCCCTCTTCCGCTGCATACGTTTATTACATCTGAGTGATGTCTAGAGTCTATAATAACCAGTCTCCACGTTCCCTTATGAACATTTTTTCGCTGAAAGCATGTGCTATCAATGACCATGTTAAGGGAAGTTGCTAGATTTATTAGTCTGTTGCCATTGTCATTTTATACCTCATAAAGGCTGTGCTTACCTATAGTTGGTAGGTATTGTTGCTCTTTTCCTATTTTTGCGTTGAGATCACCATAAATAATTTTGATGTCATTCTTTGGGCATGAATGGTATGCAGCTTCTAGTTCTTGGCATGTACATTTAAGATGCTATAATTAAAAAATGTTCCCCTTAGTCTCAGGATGCACATTCTAGAGTTCATAGCACGAAAGTCTCTTACGAGATGTTTAACCTTTTTATTTACAATGAAGCCAGTACCTAGTGCGTGGTCTTTAGCGTCGCAACTATAGAATATAATGTGGTGTCTTTTTTCAATGGTGCCACTACCGGTGCATCTCATTTCCTGCAGAGCTGTTATATCTATGTCATATTAACTATAAACTATATTCTAAGACTTATAATCTGTTCTGACATTTTCAACTATTTTAAAATAGAATCATAATCGCCATTGTCGACCCTTTGAACAGCGATACGTGACTAATATAGATTAATAATTTTAGGTAATGTAGTGAGCACGTTATACGCACACAGATCGTTTATAGAAGACACCAGCAACCTGAACAGTTCTCTAGTAACGGTGCTGTCACTATCAGCCACCGATTGGCTGAACGGTTTTGTACAAGCAAATTCAGTGGGAGAACTAGTTGCCTTCTTTCCACATCAAATGCTGTTCAACCAAGATGCTTTGAGAAAGTCATCTAAGTATAGATTTGTAAGTACTTATAAGTTTTGTGTACTCGTAAAATAACTAGTTTTACTAATTTGGTACGGTTATTAAAATCCATAATATCTTACAGTTGATTGGGTATACAAGACTGATAGACAAATCGAAGTCTGTTGAAGAAAGAACCGCTTCGGAAAAAAAGAAACGTGATTTTTTCACACCGACACCCGAAAGAAGTCAAACTTCTAAAGTGATGGATGTCGTTGACGAGGTTGACAAGGAGCTCTACTACGAACCATTAGATTACCGAGAGGCTGTGAAAAAGTATGGACTAGTTTTTTGTGATTCTAAATTGGTAAGAAATTATTAGAAATTTCGCATTTTAGATAGAATTAAATATTTCTTAACACATTCGCGACCAACCTATTTTTAGGTCTGTCCCGTCCACCATTTTTGGGGAGGAGTATTATAATTGAACAAGGATTATAAAAAAATATTTTGGATAATGTCACATATATGTGACACTGGTCTATGGTAATAGAAATTTGAACATAACCCAAGAGTCACAAATATGTGACATAAACATTTTTAGGTACTACTTATAAAAAATCATTTATTTATTTAATATTAACAAAACTAAAAATTACTTCCAATAAAAAATAAAACATATTGTATAAGTTTAATTGTCTTTTCCGTGCCACTCAGCAAAACAGGGTGTAACACATAACCCAAGTCACATCCCCTTACATTCCTGGCATGTGTACCAGGTGACAGCCCTTTTCTTGGTTGCACTGCACTGTCGACATCTTTTCCGCTTATTTTCTTTTTTCAAGTTGTGTGCCGCAACAACTTTTTTTCTGCTTGGCCGTTCTGTTTGTCCCAGTAAATGTTTGATCACTTCCTCTCTAAACTGAAGGTACGACATCCTTGTTTTCTTTGACGTGTTCCTATTTTTATTCAACAACCAGTTGCCATTCCACATGCAAATATCTAGTAAGCGAAAGAAAACTTTCATGTACCATCTCAGAGTTTTTCGTGGTGGTGTGCCATAATATGAAGTCATCTAGTCAATTCCCGACATAAAGGAATTGTAGTCACGAATCATTACTGGCTTCAACTTTTTCTGGCCTCTACGATTTTCAACTTCAACCATTTCGGAACCATGCTTGGATGAAATCATTATTACATTTCTCTTATCTTTCCATTTTAATACTATGATTGGACCTCTTCTTTGCCATACGACTTCTCCTTTCTTTAATTTTTTTGTAATAACACTCTTTGGGTTACTTTTTCTATTTTTTCTTAATGTTCCACAAACGTAGGTCTTCTTTTCATGTCAAAACTTGGCAAGCTCATAACTGTTGTAATAATTGTCCATGTAGATAGTGTGCCCCTTCTCTAAATATTCAGTAACAAGTCTGTGAACTACTTCAAACGCATGCCCATTTTCATTTACTACTGTCCCTTTGCCGCTGTAGATTAGGAAAATTTAGTAAAAATCCATCAGAGCTAGTAATCTCATAAATTTTTATTCCATATTTACTAGTTTTTTTTTGACATATACTGTCGGAATATTAACCACCCTCTCCACAGTAAGAAGGCTTCGTCAAGACTTAAGTTCTCTCCTGGATAGTAAACTTTAGAGATATTATTTATAATATGACTCGTAACGTTTTTAATTTAGTAAAGTCGATCTTGAACTTCTACGTCTTCCGGCTTGTAAAAACAAATATTTTGAAGAATAGCTTCAAACTTTGATCTGGGCATAGTTTTTCCAAATATTGAAAAGTGATATAGTGGATCTGTGCTCCAGTATAAACGTAAGGAGGGGAGTTTAATGTTTCCCATTAATATGCAGAGACCCAAAATTTTTTTTAAGTCGTCAATATTTATATCCATCCAGCGTCTTAAAAAGGAAAATTTTTTTAAAGTAGGGTTTTCTTTGCGTGAAGCAGCTCTGTGATTTGTCCACTTTACGATTGTTATCAAAAGCTCTTTTCCTCCACATCAAGCCAGTCCGCCTCATCATTTTCTTGTACCACATTTTCATTTGCATCATTCGCTTTGCCCTCATCATTACTCAACTCACCGCCGTCATTGCTCGTATCTCATTTCTAGTGATCATTTCTAGTGATGATTTTCTCGTGATCATTTCTAGTATCCTCAGTCTCCTCTTCCAGAATGAGGAGAATATTCACTTCCACTAGAATAAAACATTTCTTCAATATGGTCCTCCTCGAACTCATATTCAATATTTTCGGCATTTCTGTACACACTAACTTCCCTACTAGCCATCTCGGCCTCTAATTGAAGGTCTCGTGTATTTATATGTCGTTTTGACATTGTTAATAGGTCTAAAATAAATAATAAGTTATTACACGGTGTATAAATAAGTTAAATTTTTATATTACCTTTCTAAATTATACACAATTACGATACTTTTCGTATTCGACGTTTACATTCTATAAATTTACGTTCCATAAATTTACAGGTTATTTCTTCTTTTTTTAAACGTCCAAATCACAACCCAGCCATAGCGTGTGAAAGAAGGATTGTTTAGGTGGACTGTGGCCAAATTTAGACCCACTGTGATAAACCGTGGTAAAATTATTTTACATTTCATCACGTAAGTTCGGTGTCACACATATGTGTCAGCAGTTTTTACGAAAACTTCACCGTCACACATGTGTGACGGTTGGTCGCGAATGTGCTTAGTGTGAATCGTAAGCGTTAGTGTTAGTGTTTAATTATTATTAAACACTAACGCTTACGATAAATTTCAGTATAAAGATGAATGGACAGCCGGAGTGTGACGTCACATCTGTCATATTGTTGTTATTACTTTAACATTTTTAACATTGTGCTTCCTCTGCTACTTTTTCTTTTAAGTATAGTGTTTTTTACGATAATGCCATCACAATTCAGTGTTCTATTTCTATGAAATATAGTTTAAAAGTATACATTACAGAAATTCTAACCTTACTTTATTGATGCACGCATTTTATTGCTATTTTTATATAAAACAACATGCTTTATTATTTACACAACCTTGTAAAATTGTTGTAGTAACTGTTAGAGTACTTAAATATTGCAAAAAGCGGAAAGATTCTGTAAAAAAAATGAAAAAATAACGAAAAATACAAATTATCCACACTAAACAACGTTTGTTTGGAAAGTGAAACTGATGTCAAATGTCAATCAAATCTACGTCATTACTCCTGCGGGTCATTGTGGAACACTGTCAATAGTATTGTTATCTTTCTGACAGGTTGACTGGAAACAGCTTTTTTGGCCGTAAAATCAGAATTTTTCGTTGTTACAACCTAACCTATCATAACCTAACAGTTTATTGATTATTGGCAAAAAAATTGAGACCAATATCTGGGGGATTTAAACAACCTACATGAAAAAACCGAAAAAAATTATACAAGGAATAAAACAAATAAATTTATACCAACATCTTCAAATTGAAATAAAAGCTTTAATTGCGGGAAATTTGTAGAAAAATCACCTTTATAGTAGAATTAATTTAATTTTAGTTTAAAAAATGTAAAAAATAATATTTTTTGCTATAAATCTACAGTAAATAATATCAATTTTTGCTGAAACACCAGTTTATGTGTTCTAATTTTGATAAACGGTTTCAGGATGCACCAAGTCTGAGAAAAAACAACCACGAAAATGCCGATTTGTCCAAACCACAATTGTATCCGTTACAAGAAGTCAGGAAGGTTTGTTTCAATCCAAATAGGCAAGCAAGCCTGTACTTCGCCAGTGGATACCAAATTGGTTTCGTTAGAATATCCTACTTGAAGTTTCTTGAAAAAGATCCGCAGATTATTAGCTCAGAAAAGTGGGGTGAACCGGTAATTTATGAATAATACATCTTGTTCATATGATTCTTCTTAAACGTCCACGATTCTACTTTTACCTTTTCCTTGGTGTTTTTTATTTTTAATTTTATTCGAACTATAGAAGAGTCAATATTTATTTATAAATCAATTATTCACTTGTTATTTTCATTTTATCTGCAATCATTCCGATGTTCACTCATTTATCGTCGATCATTTTTGATATATTTACACATATAGCCAGTTTATTAGCAGGCATACAGTAAACAGAATGTAATAAGCTAAATTTATATGACGTTACCTTATCGTCTGTTAAATTTGTGAGGTTAGAATCGTCTTAAAATGCAAAATTTACAGGAGCGATTTAATTGTAGGGACACCAGATTCGTCAACTACGCATGTGCGAGACGAGGATGTTTAATAGAAAATTTTGAGCGGGATCTTGTATTGACGCCAGCGCGTCCCCCTGTCTTAGACTATTATTAATGTCAAAAAATGTAGAGTTTTCTCCTTAAATTAGGTTTAACTAACTAGGTGGGATCTCAAAGTCTATCATTGCATTATATAATGCAGTTCTTTTAACACTGTCATACGCTGCTTTGAAGTCGACGAAGACATTATGTGTATCTACGTTATATTCTAGTGACTTTTCTAGAATCTGCCTATGTGCTTGAACTTGATGTGTCACTGACTCTCCAGCAGTAAATCCTCATTTATGTTGACCAATAATATCCTTTGTAAAATGTTTAAGCTTTTCAAACAATACATTGCCAAAGATTTTATACCCAGATACTAGCAGAGTAATGCCTCTATAGTTCTTATACTCCAGTTGATCACCCTTTTTATGTAACGGATATATTATTCCCTTTAGCCAGTCTTCTGGTAAATTCATTCTGCCATATAAGTACTATTAGTTTATGTATTGCTGCAAAAAGTTGATCACCACCTTTTTTATACATTTCCGAACAGATTTCATCGATAGATAGATAGATAGATAGAATTATTCATCCACATAGTTTACACAATTGTTACAAAAAAAAATGTATAAATCTTATCGGACTAGTCAAAATTTTAGTACAAAGAGTACAGTATATGTATATAGCAAAAGTACACATGATTAAAATAAAACAGTGATTACAATAAAATAAATAAGAAATAAAAGTTACAAATACAAGTTACAAAATACAAATTTAGAACTATTGTTGCAAAAATGTTAAAAATTTAAAAATCCATCAACACTGTAGAATGTGTTGTCCATTACAAATGAATACACAGTTTGGCGAAAACCTTTATGTGAAGAATTACTGAGAGTTAATATATTGACTATTTTATTTTAACATTTTATTGCAATATATTCAGGTGCATGTTGGGATACACCTAATCTAGAGAAAGGTTACGAAAATTTGATTCACCCCTAGTATCATGTGAGTGAATGTTCTCATTTTTGTCAAACTTGAGCTTGTTTTCCTCAATGTGCAATATTAATTGTAAAATTAAAAGGCTAGGTAGTGTTAAAATATTAGACGTCTTAAATAGTGGCTTGCAACTATCTGAAAATGGAACACCATACATACTTCTTAAAACTTTCTTTTGAGCTATAAATGCCTGTTCGAAATGAGTTGAGCAAACCCAAAATATTGAGCCATACTGAAGTACAGACTGGACTAAACTAAAGTAAATCATTCGCAATATATTAAATGAGACAGTTTCTCTTAAATTACGCATTATATATCTACATGTACTTAACTTTACTGATACATGATTTATGTGAGTTTATGAGCCAGGGTTACCCCCAAAAATTTCGTTGTAGTATAACTTTCTACTGATTTGCCATCCACATGGAAATAAAAGTCAGAACTTGCACAATCATTACATATGTAATGCTATAGGTAAGAGAGAACAGAAAGAGAAACAGAATTAGGTATATAGTAAATGAAGGAGTAATAGGAGTATAGTAAATGAAGGATTGAATCAATATTTTGATGAGAATGTATATTTTTATTTTCATATATGTATGAAAGGAGTTGAATGCAAAAACATTTTTACACATACTCTGCAGTAAAATTCATTGTTTATTTTGTTATTAATATAAAAATACAATACAATACACTGTAACATAATTCAATATAATAATACAAGTATTTAAAAATGACAATATACATAACTTACTTACGCATATGTTTAATTTATCATGATAATAATATTAATAAAATAAAAATATTGTTTCGTGATACAACTGTCAATTTATCTGACATTGACAGATACAAAATTTAATTGTTGTGTGTTGTGTATATAAGCTATATAAGTACATATTTGAACTTTCTTGAGATATTTACAAGTTTTAATTTATAATTTAACATGCCTAACGCGGCCCAAGACAAATCTGAACAGAATGGAAAAGTACTAATAATATTAATAAATATTCAATATATTTACAAAAGGAACATTTTTATTCTCGAGAGAGAAAGAGAAAGAAAATATATCTTCTGTCTCTCTCTTACCTATATCTTAAATTATGTAATGATTTTGCCGATTCACTCCCATACAAATTTCCAACGTTGAATGCGCGTATAGAAGTATGACTTCAAAAACGATAATTTTATTATTTATTTCTTCTGTCAGCATTTATATTTTAAAGATTGCATATGCGGAGTTGACAGATCGGGTCCATGCAATTAATCGCTCCTAAATTTAGTATTTTTGTTTATATGTAATTTCATTTACAAATGCTTCAAAAACATTTGGATTATATTGGCACTGGGAAAATTAGTATACATCCCACAAGCAACGTTTACTCAACAATTTATTTTAATTACAACTTGCTAGAATTATACAATTATCTTCTAAACTATGAGCATAATGTAAAGGTAGTTGCCTAAATTAGGTAAAAGTGTATGCTAAAAGAAAACAAGCTAATAGTCAGTCATAATGAAGTATATTTCAAGTCGTGGACTTTTAATTATTTTTTAGTCGTGAATATATAAATCTAAGCAATTTTATGCCGGGCCGTTGAATAAAGTATTACATATATATTTGTATAAAATGTAATTTATTTAATGTAAATTGTATAAAATGTTAATTTATTGATATGAAATATTTTTTTAACTCGTTTTATATATTTTATTGCTGTAATAAATGGTTCTACGTAAATAGTAGTTTTTATTTTTAACCTGTACCCAATTTGCACAGTTGCGGTTTAGCAGCACTTACGAGGTAAGTTGCGTTATATTGATTTATTAAAAAAAGAAGTATTTCTATGGCCTGGTATTATTTTGGTTTTAAAGTAACAATCTTTGGGTGTACGACCTATTGCATGCTTGCAAAAAAACTTTTTACATATAAAGGAAAAGTGCAGACGAAATCACATACGACAACCAAAAACGAAATTCGCTCTGTAAAGGATGAGGGAAATGAAATATAATAAATATAAAAGTTGATTATAAAATAAAGAAATAAGATGAAATATGATGTATGACATTTTACAGATTTTCAAATGTTACGTTCTTTTAGCTTTAATTTAGTTCATCGACAACTCACCACGCACTGATACTCATCATTAACAGCGCGAATGATAGAGCATAACCACAGAATAAATAACAATCAGAATTCCAACTCTCAGAGACCGCCTATGAAGTGTGTCAGCACGCGATCGCTATATTTTAAACGGAAATACAGACTCAGATTAAGAAATTTGTGATAAGTCACGACAGAACTATAATTTAAATTTTTAGAGATTAATAATTTAGAAAATTTGAAATAATTTAATCTATTCTTCAACTAAAAGTACGAATAAAATAGTGCATATTATGTCTATGGTTGCAATAAATCAATTAAACTGGGTTAATTTTTCTATGCACACCAGATAAAATGTCACTGAACAGCACTGGTTCCGTTTAAAACATGGCTGATTCCGTCTGCGCGAACGAGATGCTCGTGTAGTTATATTGACAAGCAGAATAGGCATTCTGATTGTTATTTATTCTGTGGCATAACAGTGTTACCACAGAATAATAAACAAACAGAATACCCACTCTCCATGGAAAATTAAGTACGCGCATCTCCTCCGCGCAGACGTTCCGCCATGTTTTAGGAGGATTTTAAAGAAATTAGTGTTGTTTATGTGGTGTGCATGGAAAAATTAACCAGGTTTATTTGACTTACGGCAATCATAGACATATTATACAATTATATTAACATTGTTAAATATAATAACATAAATATAATATAATTAAACATAAATATAAACCAGATAAACAATTACATAACCACACAAATCATATGTCTGTGTCCTCCTAAAACATGGCGCGCGTGCTGAAAAACTTCAAAGGCGGCATCTGAGAGTGGCCCTTCTGATTGTTTATTATTCTGTGGTGATACGAAGACGCAAGAACTTGAAACATATTTTTCCTCTTATAATGCAATGTGCACAAAAAACTATAATGATTTATTTTGATTTTAAAATAACAGTTTCGATATAAGACATATTTTAGTCTTGAACAAATCTAACAATACTTTTTCAAATTAAACTGATCGGAAAATGACATTTGACAGAATGTATGTTTAAATGATTGCGTAATCATACATGACAAGATATAAGAGGGGGTGTAACCAATGACGTATAATATACGTCATTAAGTGTAACCGTAAATGACAGGAAGCGTAACAAGATTTATGTCTCTCGGTTCTTGTGAAAGCCTATACTCGGTTCGCTAATGCCAGTCCGAACTGTCTAGTGATTTTATGTTTTTATTACGAAGTTATAATTATGTTTTTACGAAGTTAGTTACTTTTTGACAGACTAGAAGTGGCTGGAAATTATTATACAACCAAGTACACGTGCTCATAGCGCATTTCAATAGAGTATTTCGTCGACCTCTTTTGTAAACTTATACTATGAATTAGAAATTTATTAAGTTTCTATTATATATAAAAAATATGTTTACAGTAATTTAGTTTATATCGTTAGGTTGCGCCAAATGTAGGCAACCAACTTAAACTTTTTGTTAGCATTTAGCTGGAGTTTCTTGAGAATATATTTAATAAACATTTAATATTTCCAGTTAATTTATTATTTTTTTAAAAGTGATGATAATAATGCAGAATAAGCAATATTTCAAATGATATCTAATCACAGGACGTACTTAATATTGTGCTATAAAGTAGGTTAGATAAAAAAATATCATAATATTCATATTAAAACTCAAAAATATTATTCATCAAAAATATAATCCAATATCATCAAAAATATAATTAAAACAAATCATAATCTTCTATTATTCCTATTAGAAACTAGTTTTGGACGACCCGGGATTTTACCTTTTTTATCTAACGTACTTTATTATGAGGATTTTACAATAACACAATATTAAGTACGTTTTGTGATTAAATATCCTTTGAAATATTGCTTATTCAGCATTATATTCATCAATTTTAAAAAATAAAAAATTAACTGGAAAATTTTCCACGTTTATTAAAAATATTCTCAAGAAACTCCAGCTAAATCCTATCAAAAAGTTTAAGTTGGTTGCCTACATTTGGAACAACTTAACGATATAAACTAAATTACTGTAACTTTTATTTAATTTTTGACGCCAGATCAAACTGAACTGGATGTTAACTGAAATGTTTTGTTATTAAAACATATTTACATAATTTCATAAATATATTTTAATGATCCACCTACGCCGAATGGGCAAATAATTTCCTTACTCATCTAAAAATATTAACTTTTAAAGAACATTTATCATATTTATATTTATTTAAGAAAAACTTACCAACGCATTATCTGATAGTACAAATGGAAAAATGACTATCTCTAATAATAAAATTCAAAATAGAACTAACAAAGAATTAAACAAAAATAATGGAACAAGAAAACTATATTAGCTAAAATAAACAACGCGACTAATACAAATATTTACTACAATATGTTCAATTGTAACTACTCAAATATTATATTTTAAATATACAGGGAAAATTTTATCGGTTTAGTTTACTTCCACTATTTGGAATAATTCATTTTTTTTAAGGAAGATGTTTATATTTGAGCTATTAATACTGAGAAGTAGGAATTTTTGTGTTACAGGTTTCCAACAATGAATCTGTCAAAATATGCCCAAGCTAAGCGAATGGAGAATACAACTATTCTGATAAGAATAATGACAATTTGGTGGTTAGTAGATAATTATCGTTGATCCAGTTTTTTGTATGCCAATTAATTAATTATATTTTTGGACATGGCACAAACATGCAAATTATGGATTTTTTAGATAAAATTATATATTTTAATAGATAAAAAGTCGTTTGAAGATTAGTCTAAAATTGATTCGTGCTTGCAGGATCAATTATTTAACGAAAAACTACTAAATTATTTTGAATGTGCGCCATCTGACAGCAGAGTGTCAGATTAATTATTACTCAAGATCCATAAGATGTTTGTAATATAATAGAAATAACTTATTTTTTAAATAAAACTTTATTCCGTTAGTTTCTGTCTAAAAAATAAATAATTTTCATTTATGTGTCGACTAGGGTCATGTCCAAAAATATTCAATTGTGAAATAAGTAATTGGTATACAAAAAAACGGGACCCATTACAATCATCTGCTAATTACCTACAATCGACTGCATTGTCTCATTATTCTTATCAGAATATTTTTAGGTCTAACACATTGAAGTATATATCCTCGATATCAGAATAAAAGTCACCTTAAATACCTCTACCGAGTTTATTTCAATTTTATATTAATATTTTTCTATATACAGATTTTCACGAACAGTATTCTCGTCTTCTAAATTGTAGAAAGAACTCCCAGGTACAAAAATGATTTTCTAAATATTTGACTAGAAGAACTCACTGCCATCTTGCCTAGGGTGTTCGTTAGGAGATTCTTTTTATGAATTCTTTTGCTGCTTCCGTTGGTATTATTCGCTAAAATAAACAAAACATTATTAAAATTCGGTAAAAATTAAGATAATAGTCTTTAGATAAGGAATGTGTGGTTCAATAGATATGAAAATGGTAGTGCAGATTAGAAATATAAGGGTTTTGTATTGGTAAGTCTCAGATGCCCCAGAATATCCTGAAATATTGTCGATTTAGCTGACCTGTTATTTCCTTGTTTTACATTCAGCGTCTAAAATTGGCGCAGTCATTCGGTCACTTACTGGTAGAATCAACATCAAGTTAATGTGGATTTAAAATATCTTTTGCTATCGATTAAAAAAATTTGCTTTGGCAGTTTTTGTCTCTATACGCCATTCTTTAAAATAATGTTAAAATATAAAAACTCATTAATTTAAAAACATGTATCGGTAATCCATAAAAAGAATGATAGTGAAACCCCTGCAAGTCAAACACGTAATTGAAAAATTAAATACAAACATAGTTTTATCTTACCTGACCTATACCGGCAATAAGTGTAAGTAAGGACCTTTTTGGTGGCCTACAAAACTTCTTACCACCTTCTTGGCAACATAAATTGGGAAAGCAGTCCAAAGGAGACTCGCACGGTTTCGGGAATAAATCTAACAGCGGTGGTGGTGGGGCTGTGCATTGCATGTAGCTAACGAGAGCCCTAAAAGCTACAAATCATAAAGTTATTAGTAAGATCGCTTGACGATACTGAGTACCTAAACGAGCGCAAGAATATCATGTGTTGATGTTGACAGGGTAAATACTCAGTCGGTATGGAATTTAAACATCTTTACTTTACCTCCCCGGTAACTTTTTTTAATAGTACACAACACGATATTGTTAGCGTTTGCTATTGCTGTTTTCGCTTCCTTTTTTGGCGTCATTATAGTTTTAAAAAACTGTATCTATTTTGTACTTTCTTGATACTGTTTCTTTTTTTCTTTATTTTTTCTTGAACTTTAGTTGACCATCACCAGTTTTTTGTATTCTTCTTTCCTGAAATTTTTCCAAATATTTCTCTATTTCTCTTCTATCTAATTCCTCCTTCATAGCTAGTTCCAAAGCCTAGTTTTCCATGTATTGCTTCTGTCTTAGATTGACCCATATGTGCACTAAAATTACCTCTATTATGACTCCCTTCTCTTATTGATTATCACTCAGTATGTCTGCTAATTGATAATAGAAAGTTTTTCTTTTAGTTTCACCTAGGCCCATTTGAGGCGTACACACAATATACATAATGTTTTGTGAATACACAAATATAATAATGAATAATGTTTGTAACTATACAACAGAAAAGATCTTGACGTAAAAATCATAAGAAATATATTTGTAAACAAAGGAAATTCAAAAATAGAATTGTAAACCCAGGCAAAGGAGCAATTTTTCTGATACTATAGTTTAGAAATTAACTGGTATTGAAACAGAGTCTTCTTTTGACATAAAGAGAAAACTTCCTAATCATGATATGTTCTGGGTTCACGTGGAAAATTGATTAGCATATTTAAACGTCTTGTGGACATTATTACTGAAGTAAAATCCGATACTCCTTTGGTACATAAAGTTTACCCAAAGTTGGAGCAGTGAAAGTCTATTTAGAACAAAGAACTTCCTTGATCCCCTTTGTAAAAATCCGAAGAAAAAATAGTTTGCGAGATTTAATACAAGGATTAAATTTGTTATAGACCTAATCCATTTAATCTAGACCTAATCCAGGAAAGAAAAAGACAACAGGAGAATGAAGAGGAAGACACAATGATGAACTCCAGACAGTATATGGAGATGAAAATATAATACGCTACATTAAAGCAAACCGAATAAGATGGACGGGCCACGTACTAAGATCGAGTGACGAAAGACTCCTGAATGCCACATTCTAGGAAAGACCCGATGGCAGAAAGTCAGTTGGTGGCGCAAGAAAGAGATTGAAGGACGCAGTAGCCAGTGATCTATGCAAAATGGAAATACAGCAATGGGAAATAGCTGCTCAGGACCGACAACAATGAAGGGAAATAGTAAACGCGGTCAAGACTCACAAAAAGTTGTAGAGACAAATGATGATGATGATAGACCTAATCCATTTGGCAGCTGATTGAATTCTGTTTTACAATTATACAAATTGGCACCAAGACAGCTTCTTGATACTATCGGTTTTATGAAGGTTGGCTAGCAAATGGACGTATGTAATGAAAATTGCTGAACATTAAACGGATTATACAGATAAATAAGGTTTATGGAGACATTAGTTCATCGTTTGCTGATAATTTTTAACTAATTAAAAAAAATGTTCTACGACTATTTTTATCCCAGATCGGCATTTTTTTTAAATTTATTATTGGATTATTTATAAAAAGTAAACTAAGGTCATTCTTGTGTATGTAAATAATACCAAACTTGAGCAAGTTGATAAAATCGTCTACCTTGGACAGCAATTAAATTGTAATGCAGAAAATCACGGCGAAATTAGATCCAGAATAGAGCAGGCTAGAGCTGCTTTTAGAAGGATGTCCAAGGTGTTATGTAACAGAGACCTAAAATTGGCATTAAGGATCCGCCTACTTCGCTGCTACGTGTTCTCGGTCTTACTTTATGCTGTCGAGTCCTGGACTGTGAATAAAATTGATCTAAATCGCCTTGAGGCTTTCGAAATGTGGTGCTATAGAAGAATTTTAAAAGTTTCCTGGGTGGAGAAGATTCGTAACTCCACAATACTTGAACGTCTCAGCAAGACCACTGAGATCATAAAAAGCATCAAGCAGAGAAAGCTGGAATATTTCGGACATGTAATGAGAGGTTCCAAACATAGATTGCTATAAAATATCATGCAAGGAAAAATAGCAGGCAAACGCAGTCCAGGACGAAGAAGAACCTCATGGTTAAAGAACTTGCGAGATTGGTATGGTGTAGATACAAGCATGCTATTTAGGGTGGCAGTGAATAAAATTAAAATAGCTATGATGGTAACCAACGTTCTGAAAGGACATGGTACATGAAGAAGAAAGGTCATTCTCAAAAGACTAGATACTTACGTTCAACAAGTTGTCTAGGTGCGGGTATCGTTTCCCATAATGGTTGCGCAGTCCTGCAATAGCTAACAGTTTCTCCAGATCTTAGAGTCTCTGGACAACAGATTCTAGGAGCACATTCGTCATCAGCGCTACATTCTTTTACCTCGAAGATTTCAGCGAGTGGTTCTTTGGGACAGGTTTGTTGAACAAATCCGAATAAAGTTGCTGAAAAAACAAACAAACAAAAAAAAAGATAAATCAAAATGGTAAATATTGACCTAATTAAGATTTATAAATATTTATCTTGTAGAAAAGAAAATTTATGACGAATATTGATATATAAAGGTACAATACAACAAGTAGACAGTTTTGTTAATATTTGATTCTCTGATCTAGCATAAACCAAATAATATTTAGCTTTTTTTTATAAACGTTACTTACGTGAATGAGTTGGTTCAGGTTTTGGAGGCTTGACTCCATTGATACATCTTTTATCACAACACAGTACCGTTTTACCAAATATACCACAATCTTTTTTTGTTGAGCACGGCAATGCAAACAGTGGTAGTTGAGCTTCTTTTCCAGGACAAACATACTTTGATTCTGCTTTAGCCAAAGATTTCGATTTTTCGTCTGGTTTAGGCGATGAAACCTTTTCTGTTGTTTCCTTCACGTCCCCATCTAATTTGTTGTCTAGACAGAGTAAAACAAATATATTGGATTATTTATATATTAAGTGTATCTTAGTAAGAAGACGTGTAGAACGTCCCTCGGAAAGATTTAAGGTACTTTGATGCCCTGAACCAGTGACATAGCCAGGATTTTTTTTATTTCGGGAGGTATCTACTCGTTTAAGTTCATCCTCCCGTTTATCAAAACGTTAAGAAATTCAATGCACCATATAATAAACTATTCAATTTTTTTAATAATTATTTTTATAATTTTCTTTTATAACAATTTATAACAAGAATCCTTACTCTTTTTAATATATTTTTTGAGTAAGGAGTGGTTTGACATTAATGAAAAAATTTACACAGAAAAGTGATAAAAATAGAATGGTCTGATGCTATTTTCTTGTGGCATTTTAAAGTAGATACTATTTTATTGGGAATAAGCCACAATTTATGGTTAAAATAAGTTTATTGACATTTCGATTACCACTTTCGGATCTCGTTCTGAAAAATACAATGAAAAACAATACAATGCTCCTGATAAAGTATTTTTGTAAATATTATTATTGCAAATGTATGTATATGAGACACAGTATTTTGAAAAACAATATTTGTAAAAGATAGAATTGAACTTTAATAAAAAAAAAAATTATAATAAATAAAAATTATGTTTTAACTGTTTTTCACGAGATTAATTAAATTTACTTTTTAATTGCATTATTTGAAATCTTGGGATGCCAGAAATAATAGCATGTTATAACTTATAAAATACTTATTGAAATGCAAAATTCTAGGTTTTAAGTAAAGTAGCAATAGACAATTAAAAAAAGGAAGTAGAAAAGACAGAAAAAAATGGGAGAGAGAAAACGAGGAACTCAAAAAAACATTAACACTTCTGGAGAATAGATTAGAGAAGATCGATAAAGAAAAAATACACAATAAATTAATAATATCATGAATTGATAAGGAGAGGCTAAGGGAATACATACAAAAAATGATGGAAAACGAGTTTAAACTGAAAATAGAAATTAAAAGTGCGTTTAAGATATAATACAAAAAATGTATAATAGTAATAAAGAGCTGGGAAGAAAAACATCGTATCTGGGCCACATACTCCGAAACGATAAATACTCAGCCATGAGCAAAATAATTAAGGTCAAAGATATATCTCGTAATACAAAAATAAGAGTATACAAAACTATAATTAGACCCACAATGCTATACGCTGCCAAGACATGAACTATGAACAAAACAATACAGAACAGATTGCAAGCATGGGAACGAAAGATACTTCGCAGAATGTTTGGTGGAAAAGTAGTAGAGAGAGAATGGAGAAGACAGACTACTCCAGAAGTGTACCAATTGTATGCTAAATTTACAATAACAAAAGTGGTGAAAAAAAGTAGAATAGAATGGCTTGGACATCTAGAAAGAATGCAAGGTAATAGACTAGTCAACAGTATTACTTGGAGAGTCTGAAAGCAAAAAAATAGAGAAAGACCAAGAGAGAAATAAAGAGATGTAGTAATGGAAGGCGTCAGAAAGATGGGAATCAGAGATTCGAAGCTGATGACTAAGAACAGAAAACGATGGAAATTATCCATCCAGCAATGGGCATAAAAGGCTTGTTAACGCTATACATACATACATCTAACAGCACTAAGGAAATCGTAAGAAGCACTTTGAAGAACCAAGAGGGAAATTAAGAAAGTGCTTTTTTTATCGCTGAACATAACGCACTGCTGTTCTCGAGATTTCGCGACCAGATTGAAAAAATTAGTTATAAGTGCTCAATGTTCATACAAAACATAACCTGAAAAGTTATCCAAATACTGTCTACAACTAGTATTTGAAAACTATTTGAACTAATTTAAGAGGCATTACTTCCCAATAAAAGATTTTGTGAATAGAACAAATATTATTCGATTTTCATATTTACAACAATCTTCAGAAAAATCAAAATATTTGTTAAATTTAAAATACGATTGTCCAATTTAATATCTTTTACATATTTATTGAATTTTAAAATTATAGACATTTGATAATATTTCGGAGCGTGTCAGAAACCCCTGTTCACTTCCCCTGGCTATGTCACTGTCCTGAACAGACAAAAATACCTACTGGAATAAAGAGAAAGAAAAACGCACTGTGTTTCTGTTTACACAATATTAGCTATGAAATGTATGTTAATAAAACAAAATATTATATGAAATTACCCTTAATAGGGTAATCAAACTAGTGAGCCACCTATAAATGTTAAGTGCATTATGTTGTGAAGACATCCGATAAATGCAAATCACTAAAACTACCTTGGCCGAAGATATAATAGCATTTTTTGAGACCAAGGTCACAAGTTACACAATTCTTCGACTTGTATATAAAAATGTAGGTGAACAACAACAGGAAAAATATTAACTGCAATTTTTTATACAATTAACAACGTTTAATTCTTTATCAAATTACACTTTTGATTGATTTGCTGCATTGCTTCATAGCAAAGGTCAAACTCTAAACAACCAATAAATTATTGTTACAATTCTATAGTACATTCCAGTTAACTAGTCGCACTGAAAAAATCAGTGGTTATTAAAACTATAAAACAATTATCAATTTTAGTTTTCCCTGGAACCTATTTCTCGACAGAATCAATTCTGAACCGCGAATCACATTCGATAGAAAAGTTTCTGTAAAGAACGTTCACAAAATATATATTGCCTCATTATCCTAACTGCCTCTTAAACAATATGGTAAGTAATAAAAATAATCCCCCCTTAGAAATCATCTACTGTTGAAAATTTGTGAGTTATCAGGACTGACTTAGATCCTTATTAAATACATTTTATGCTAAAAAAATTTTAACTACTTAAAATGCTGAGTAACTGCATATGTGGCTCTGATGAGACCTAATAAAATACGTATAAGCGGCTTGCAGATGCCTTGCATAGAAATTAAATCTAATACCGTCTTTCTGTTGTACTTTAAATTTATAATCCTAACTACTTATTAGGGTAAATTTTGGGGTTTTCAGTGAGTCTTTGAGTGAACAAGTTGTGATATTTAGCGAAATAGTATTACAATGTAAAATTGTGATAACGATCATACAAAAGTTGAAATATTGAAACGTTGAAACTGTTGTTAAAAATTAGAAGGGACTACTTTCATTCAAGGAAAGAATCAGAAAGTTATCATAGAACTCATCTGTCTTTTCATGCGAAAGAAATAGTTTATACAGCATAATATGTTGCCCGTAAGATTATTTTCTACCAGTTTTTTAAGAATACTTTACTTTCATGTTGTATCTAAATCAAAAATTATTGCGATTACATCTTGCTTGGAGGTCATAGCATTTGCTATATTTGCATTTGCTTGGAGGAATATCTGTTTGCAGGATCACTTAATTTTCAGTGGTGGTTCGATTAGGTCTAAAACCTGAGTGAGCAGGGTTAATGATATAGTTTTTTTTTCTAGCTACCAGATTAATCGCTTGTTGATCATTTTTTCTAATAATTTGCAAAGGGTAAGTACATATTAGGGTACAGTTTTTAAAATCCACAAAAATCTTGGATTGTTTGTTTTAACAATAAAACATAACATACACGCCTTCTAATTAAAACATATAAGTGAAATCCTGTATGCAGTGAAAGGTTATATTAATTTCTTATTACAAAATGCATTTATCTGCAACCTTGAGTGGATTAATTCCAATATCTACTTATTCTAAATGATTAAATAGCCAATATGTACCTTTGAAAAGTGAATGTAATGGGTTTAGTAAGGACCATGTACTACATATTGCAAATAACCAATAAATATGTGAGTTATTTAGCAAATTTATTTGTTTGTAAATTCATATAATTATCAGGTGTGGAATGTTTCATCGTACAGAACGGTTAATTGCATTGAGAGAAATGACATTTTTGTAGCGAAATAAGTTGTTTAACTATTAGTTAAAATAAATCTTAATAATGGAAATAACTAAATTAAATTTAGAAAATTACATTTTAAAATTAATAATGTTGATGAAATCATAATGCGATGGTTGTGATATTGTGGTACATCAGAGTTGTAATAGTGATACTGTCTTCGATTGATGAGTGTTTCATAGCTGAGAAAAACTTAAAATTAAATATTACTTAAACCAAAGCAATGGTAATTACTATCAAACATAAATATAGCAGAATATAAATATAAATGGAATTAATTTAAAAAATCAATAATGAGAAAATTTAAATTCTAACATCACTGCAATATTATATAAGAATACCTTACATAAATACTGAATTGGTGGAAATTTCTTGTGTGTTTTGCAACGATGCGATGTTCAAATCGGAAGTGTGAGAAAAATTGGCAATATACAGGACCGGATTGCAGATATCAGATGCAAATCATTTTTTAACAATTTAATAATCTTTTTTATATGCCAAAAATGATAAAGGTTTTTTGGATAAATTAGGAATTTTATAGAATAGAAAAAATGAAATAAAATGAGAATAAAAACGATTCGAGGGAATTAAAAATGAAACAGAGCGTTGCGCACGGTGTTTGAGAGAGAGCTGTATGGGAAGATTTACAGACCATGACTATGAGATTAGACAGATTTAGAGAAGAGAAGACAGACTTGAGATTAGTATATATTACATCTATCAGAGAACGTGTCACTAATAAAGAATATTCATTATAATTTTAATATTTAACTCCGCCTTCGGTAAGTACTGGGTGAATTGAGTAGCTCAGTAAATGCCGATGCCGGTCCCAAGCCCGGATAAAGGAGGAGGGTTGAGGCGATAGGCTAGCAACTCGTCCCTTGTCAAAAGAAATTAATGCTAAAAATTTCGACCAAAAGCCTCGGATTACAAAGGATGGATCAACACAAAGACGACTAATGCAACGAAAAAGGAAAATGATATTGGCTACATGGAATGTACAAGGACTGAGAACCAAACAAGCAGAAGTATTCAAAGAATTAGCGGAAAGAAAAATAGATATATGTGTTCTCACAGAAACCAAGAAAAAGGGAAAAGG